AGAGGTTTTTAGTGGCCAAAAGTGAAATACTGAAAAACTGAAATGAGCTGTTTGGAGAGAGCACACACTCAGAGGAGGATCAAGGGGACAGAGTTTATCGGACAAAAGCTCATGCGTCTATATTCTCCTCAGATCAGGCTCCTGTCTGACCCAAATATCCCCTGTCTTACACTTTTGCCCTGCAGGCTGCCAACCCAAATGAACAAACACAACTGGCCACACAGTACGCTGACTCCCCCACATCCACAGAGCTTGCATCTATAGCACTCTTCCTCTGATGTTTGAAAGCCATGATCAAATAAAATGTAGAACTGTCAGGCGAAATCAAGAGGTTTGACTTGGACATGGGACATTATATCTATGGTAGGGGGCCCTGTATAAGCGGGACCCTGAGTAGAAGTGACAACATTCTTTATGGCCTGGATCACTTGTAGCAAAGACACACTGACTCACCCCGCAGAGGATGATGAACTCTGGCATTTTAATACTTCCAATGCAAGTCCAATGTGGAAGTTGCTTAAAATGTGACCAACATTTGAACTCAGTGTGATAAGAATTAAGGCTGTCGTATGATATTCAATTAAACCGTTAAAGGTCCTGTATTCTGCTACTTTGTCTTTACAGTTTTTTTAAGTATTTCTTTATTTTAGTTTTTCAGATTTGAGTTGTCTCATGTTTGAGTAATCCTGCATGTGTAGCCTCTCTCCTTATGAAGAACCCCTAATGTTTAGTCCCACTGCATGATGTCATCACGTGGTGTTTAAAGGGCACATATAACATTGGTTTCTGATCTATGTTGTAATGTTGTTTCCTCAACTAAAACATACTTAGAATTGCGTTTTATTTCATTCTCACATGTTTAACACACAAACCCTGCATATTTAGGCTGAACAGAAAACACCCTGTTCCACCTTATGATGTCATGTGGTAATACAGGAAGTGCTCCATTGTGTTTTAAACTTCCTGTGCCTTCACTAGAATCATTTGGATCATTTCAGTCCTGGAATTGCCAATCTCTACTGAACAAAAAATAAAAGGTAGCTGTTAACTTGAAAACTACTGCTTTGTGACATCACAAGGTGGAACAGACCATTATGAGTTTTGGAGATGTAAACAGACAAATAATGCAGGATAACTCATGTGTGAATGAAACAAAACACAACTCCGGGTATGTTTGATGAGGTAATGACATTATAACATGGCTAAAAGCTCATGAGAGTCAATTTTGCTCAATATAAGACCTTTAGGATTTTTTTGAAAGTCCAAACATCTTTAGCGTTTCAGTGCTCAAACTTTTCTGAATTCTAACCAACAAATGGCTGACCGTCTTGATTAATATTTTACATATTAAACCATTGCAGCAGTAGTTCGGTCATTGCGCCATTTGATTGCAACAGTTTTTTTTAGTTTTTTTTTTTACTACAGCTGAGTATTGATTTGTTCTCAAGTGTAAAATATGGGACCTTAAACATAACGCCAATAATTAAAGATATATTTGGCAAGATAGGTCCAGTCATTGCCAAATCCTTCTGACTTCATCAAAATCACAAATATATTAAAATCGCAAATTGATTGCAACAAAAAAAAAAGGTTTGTATTCTATCTATCTCCCCACATCTCCAGGAGGATAAATTACTGCTCCCTATCCCCCAACAGTCTGGGACACAAGAGTAAGTGCCCACCTCCTTGGATGAGAAAAGAGGTTAATTGACACTTGGTAGTTTTTCAGCCAAGGCATTTCATCTGCCCTGTTTGATTTATGGAGGATGTTTTCCACTCTTTGGGAAGCCGGCTTGTGTAGTAGACTTTTATATCAGTGAAATGCACCTTATTGTATTCAGTGCTTCCAGTTGTATAAATATTTACTCTCCCACCTGCATATAGGTGTTCATCATTTTCAGTTTGCACGTACGCAGGTGATTTATCTGTTGCCAAAACCTTCGTAGTTATTGCTTACATGGGAACAGTCGTGAGAAATAACCCAGCATCTTTGCTAATGAGTTAACGAGAAATAGGGAAATGTATGAAGATGTGTTTGCCTCCATAGAAATACCACAGAGGAAATTAGAAGGCTTGAAGCATCTGTCAGCACGCCGCAGACTACTTCAAGCACAATGAATCACAGCTTTTGTCTTCCTCCCATGGACATTGATTAATCACACAGACATTCACTGGAGGTTGTTGCCGTCGACGATGGAATGCCGTTGCGAGCTAATATTTTCAAGCCCAAATCTTTTTGAAGCCCTCTTGTGAATTGCTGGAGCGTTTAGCGGCAGTGTTTTAGAAAGGTCACAAATATTGCAGCGTACCGAGTGGGCAACCTAATGTGAAGCAGTGTGGAGAGAGTGGGACTCATTATGTGCGTGTCCCTTTATCACTGAATGTTCCCACAGCACATCGTGGGAGTAGTACAATTTGCCATTAAAATTTGAATAACATTTGAAATTAATACAAAGGTAATTTATTGTGAATTTGGTGCTTTAGGAGTAATCATGTTTGCAAAATTGTAGCTTTTCAGTTTAACAATTAGCTTGATTTGTTTATAATGAAAATCACAGAGATGTGTGTTATGGACAGCACTAATATAATGATTCAGTTTAAGCAAATGCATCTGCAAAATAAGGTTCTATTATGGTGGGCATTCATTTGGATTTATAATTATCAACATTTATGTGATTAGTGTATTTTGTTTGGACAAAAAATATTATGCTTATAAAATAATTTGTTTTGGTGGTGCTGGGTTTATTTTTGTGCCATGATTTAAAAAAACATGTAATTAACTAATGTGGCTTTTAGCAACAAAGTTCAAAAACTAAAATGTAACTTGTTTTACTAAATTATATTAGAATTAAATTGTGAGGGGAAAAATGCAAAATAATCATGGCGCTCCTTCCTTCGGAACTTTTTTTTCCCCCCTTCTCCCTAAACTTGGTCTCAGTTTCTCAGACTTCCAAACTTGGGTACTAGGCAAATTGTTTATAGTAGTATATTGTTAAGTACTATTATTATATTTTGTTTTAAACTATGTTGGTGTCCAGAATCCTACAAAATATTCTTCAGGATGTAACATTTACTGCTTTTTAATTCAAATACAATTTTTTATTTATTTATTGTTTTTATCTGAAACATTCCAAGTACTTGATGGTTGGGAACACTGGGCTATTGATACTTTGCAGCTAGTTTCATCAATATTCTATGGAGGTGTGAAGCAAATTTATTTATTGCACATATATATTATATTATTGTTATATATTATTATATCCATGTATATAACATGACAATAGGAAAAAAAAAAAAGTAGGTGCCAGAAGAGGCAAAAACCCAAAAGGGCTTATTTTAAAGCCTCCACCTTTTGAATCCATTAACAATTGAACATTATTACAGCTTGGATTAAATTCATTTGATTCAAACATGGATTAAAATACAATGAAACATCAACAACTGAATGATTATCAAACATAATCATGAAATATCAAAGATTTCCTCACCCTCTTCTTAAACAACGCCTCTGATCTGCCGTCACTAACCAGATGTGAAAACTGGCTCTACAATTTACAGCCTCTGTATCGTAAACTAACTTTCAACTCTGCTCTGTCTGAGGCTCTGTTGTACTTTAATCAGAATTTTTTTCAACACAGTCTGACCAGAAAGAGTTGACTTAGTTGGAACTACAGCAGTTAAGATCATCTGTGCTCTTAAACAAGTCTGTCACACATAAAATTACAGCAAAAATCTAGATAGCATTACCTAACTGTTTTTTTCAGTTTGTCACCCTCACCGTTTTTGTTGAAAATCATGCAACTGAACAGGACTATGAACACACATTGTTTAAATTGTTGTTATTTTTTGTTAGCTATTTTTTGTATTTTGACATTCTGCTTATATGTCCATTGTGTCTCCATGGTAACTGCTGAACACTCCACCATAAGCATACATGCAGAACACCCCTGTGATGCCACTGCAACGCAACAATGGGTTTCATACAAATTTGTTAATGTATGTAGAAAGCAAGTCACCCTAAACTGAACTATTAAAAACAAGCAGAATTTTGTGTTTCCCATTAATAGACGAGACTATGGTGCTCCCCCGTAGTCTAAAAACAATCTGGACTATACATAAATCACACTTTCTTGAATACGGTTTCATTATAAACAGTTAAAAGTAGCTATTCTCAACTAAAAGGACTGCTTTAAGATAAAATTTAAAAATAAATGTCATTTATTCTGCACAAATCATAAACAAAATAAAATAAAATTATTCAAATCTTGTGCTGCTACAGTTTACCCGAGAATCAATGAGAAACACTGCAGTGAGTAAGTAAAAGCTATGTAAAATAGTATGTTAAAGGTACCTACTTAGTAGATACTCAGATATTACTAGTCAGTGAGCAGACCTGTTCAATGTGACACCATTTAGCAGACTGTGTCACTGTTTGCCCCTCGATCCTTTCCAACCTTTTCCATTTGGGAGCTGAGACCTGCCTCTCGGGAATCCCACACGGCTGTCCTTTAGTAGTGGCTTGTGTTACCCCTGCGCACATACACACACAATCCCCCATCCCTGTCCACTTCCCTGTCTCCCTCCCTCCTTCTCTCTCCTCCTCCTCCTCCTCCTCCTCCCTCACCCTCTCCTCTCGCTCTCCGCTCCTCTCCCAAAGCCGTGCTGCCTACAGTGCGCATCATTCCGCCGCCATGGAAATTAAATGAAAGGTGGCTTAACACGGGCTAAACACAGGCATGCTTTGAAGGATGCGACGGGCAAAGGGTGGGGGGAAAACTACCGGACTGCCAGATTCCCTTTTACCATCGGGCTGTGGATTTCCAAGGCACGGATACAGCAAGCACTCAACCATGCCCAAGCTGAGACAACAGGACTAAATCTCTCCACAAGACTTGGGGGAGGATTTTTTTATTTATTTTTTTTAGCCCCTGATAATAATTTTATCAGACAATGCTGCTGCGATGAATTGTGCAAATTGGTAGCGTTTGATTACAGCACATATGGATGTTTTCAGCTTCGTTAAGATGCCAAAGCTGCCTGGGTGAGTCTAAGAAATATTGCTGTCTTATATATATTAGTGTGTTTCATATACGCACGCTGAGAGTCTTTTTACCCTTAGGAAATACATGTAGGGTGTGTTAAAACTGCTGAGTTACTGTGACAACTTGTGCAGTCATGTATGATGCTATATGAATGCGAGTGGGGGTGGATGCAGCCAAGGCACTTATTCAAAGTTGACTCATTCCCTCTGAATTGTGTTGTAGTTCCACCAAATATTCCACTCTGGTCTTCAAATGATAATGACGCTTCCCTTAAAATCAATTGGCGATGTTGAGGAATAACTCATAAGCTGGTAGTGTGATATGAACATCTGATTTGAAATATCGACCCATCCTGGAGTAATTTATGTTGACGTGAGACGAGTCCACATACCATTTGCGCATAATGTAAAGATGTATGCAGCCAACGGTATCAAACATAAAATAGATAGGATTCCTCTGTCATCTTTTAGCATGATAATAATAATTGCAATGGACTGGTTTGCAAATATATGATGACGTGAGTGCTTTGCCAAGGCACATAACTCAACTCGTGCCCTCTTGGATCTGCTAGATTGGTTTGATGTGCCCCGGCGGACAGTAATCCTCCAGGGATTTGGGTTAAATGAGGAATTATTAAATCAGATGCTGTAAGTGTCAGATATAGTTCTTTCATTTTTACCTGTGCGTCATCTTTGCCTGTGGCTTTATTTCATTCTTCTTCAGTGTTTTCACAGGAAAGAAAGGAGTCGATGGGTCAGTTTGTTTCATTGTTAGCATCCCTGAGTGTTGCTTTTATGTGAGGGCTCCCAGTGGAATACCAACATCACTGCATGCTGTCACTGTTAATAACACTACACAATGCTATCCGTGATTACAAGTTACCACTGCTCTGCTTCTGGGCTTTTCTGTGTCCCATTCTTCCCTCACAGCTGCCAACAGGAGCTCCAGTCTGCAGGATATTTCTAATCTGGATAGGACATTTCAGTGAACAAACTGTATGTAGTATATGTGAGAGGTGCACGCGGTTGGTTCCTCCTCCGCAGCTTTACGACGCCCCCAGATGTGTGGCCCACTGCTGCTGGAGACAAAGAGACTGTTCTGTTTGCCTGTCTATGAGCTGTATGGATCCAGCAATTCCTTTAGGTCCTTTATTATGCAAAATTGACTCTTGTCATCTTTAAGGCAATGTTGTTACCTCCTCAAAAACATACCTGGAGTTGTGTTTTGTTTCATTCACACATGTTTGAGTAACCCTGGTTTATTAGTCTGCCTACATCTTCAAAGCTCAAAATGCTCTGTTCCATCTTGTGAGGTCATGAAGAGGTAGTTTTCAAGTTTTACCGCTATTTCAGTGGAGACTGGCAAGTCCATGGCTGTGACAAATGATTCTAGTGAAGGTGTGGGGATTTTAAAAACACAGTGGAGAACTTCCTGTATGACCACATGACATCACAAAGTGGAACAGAGTGTTTTCATTTTGAGAGAAGAACTCATCTTAAATATGCAGAGTTTGTGTGTTAAATGTGTGAATGAAACAAACACATGTTTGTGATGAGGAAACAACATTATGACCTAGATCAGGAAGTAATATGGGCCATTTAAAGGTATTGTTCTGTGATAGTGGAAGAGATATCAACAGCTTTTAATGGAAAGCATAACTACATAGAATTGTTGTTCAGTGGTTACGGCTGGACGATGATGACAAAATCACACTGATATTAGCTTTAAAACTACTAATAATGTATTTTAAATAAGGTTCACGAACATGGACAATATAGGCAGTGTTATTTAAAGGGACAGTATGCAAGATGTGTCCACAGATATGATGAACTTTAAATCACATGACTGACAATAGTTGGACATGATGGCCAAGTTGTTTGTTATAGTTCAGTATTTTGGATTTCAAGATTATTATCCAATCAGAAAGCAGAATGAGTCTCTCTCATTTCGGTTGCCAGTTTCAATGCTGAAATCCAGTTGGTTTAAAAAACTCTGTCTGATCTGAATTGTCACTACCTAAACCCCAGTACCCACAGCCAATAATGAATCAGTGCTAGTGCAGCCTTTGCAGCTCAGGGAGTGGTTCTAAGCTTTCACATGAGGCTTAGCCACATTTTTACATCACCCATAGCGTGACGTTACACTCGTCACTGTGAACTTCCTATTTGGAAGGCGGTGGCTAGCACTTTCCAGATGGTGTATGGTTTTTACTGACATGGGGTTGGCTGGTAAAGCATAATGATGGTTTACTTCTATGCTGTATATGCAATGTATATTTCTGATCCACATGAAAAATTTCAAGTGCAAATTACAGAACAATTCCTCCTAGCGTTTATGTGGTCCTTTTATTATTAATTAGACAATCAGACAAAGAATTTCCCCTTGGGGATGATTAAGAGTAATGATGATTCTGATCAAGGCAATCTTTTATCTGTTTTGTTTCAATAGTTTTAAACCAGTGGGAGCTCAAGCCACAGAAATAACTACAAAGTATATAACCAAGGTAACATAAAGTGCACACACACACAGTCATAGTTTGGACCTTTGTTTAGCAACCACGACTGTTCTTAAAAGAGGAAACTGTGTTGTATTCAAGGCAACATTGATTTAGTCTACTTTTGTGCGCTGTTGTGCTTTGCCTAGGGGCCTTTGCTGCTAACAATATTTGTACCATAGTCACAGTATGCAGACACATTGATTAGCCTGAATATTCATCAGTACGCTGCCCACAAAAGAGATGCCATAGTTACATTAGTGTCCTGGACAGAGAGCGGGTTGGACCTGAGCCCAAACATGAGCTGAGAGTTTTTACTTTTATTCTTCAGAGATTTGAACTGGAAAGTGGTACAGTGCATTGTACAGCCTTGGAAAATCAATGGATGCAGGGTAAGTGCATTTTAAAAGCTTGGTTAATGTTTATTACTGGGACAGGGCTGCCAGAGTAATCACAACTGAATGAAAAACTTAACTTTGAAAGGCTGCGATTAGCAAATTGCAAAGCTACAATTATTTGGGTAATAAAACACCTTTAGAAAACAATAGAATGTATTCATCCTATATAATGTGTTAACTCTGTAGTTTGACATGAATTGCAACCTTAGCTGGAAAAGTAATTTTTCTATATTTTTGGGGGACATTTATACATGATTGTGTTAATAGTTGCTCATGTAACACCTGTTGTGGTCAGTATTAGGAAGTAACTAAATGCATGTACAGAAAATATTCTGATACAGCTACTTTTTCATTTGATGGTTTTCAGAATAAAGTTACTTTCCTAAATTTAAAATAATACATGGAGGTACTGAACTGCACAGTATTAGTGGGGAAAAAAGAAAACACAGCTCATGTGGAACGTGCAATTTCGTCTCTATTTAGACACAAATTTATGCATAACAAACAGCGCAACAAAACTGAAGCTGTTTGTAATTATGTCATACTATAATATGACTGCCAATCGGTGTAAAAGTGTTCAGAATACAGTTCTCTGACTGACCCATGTATCAGAACAAAATACATTTAAATTTGGGTATTCAGTATTTCATAACACAAGTACATTTTCAAAGTATTCTTCCCATCACCGGTTGTGGTTGGGAGCACACTTGATGTGTGCCCTGCTGCAGTCTGCATGCTAACACACACAGAGACACAGACACACACATAGATAGTGGAGTGTGTGTGTGTGGAGGGGAGCAGGTGAACAGGAGCTGCCAGTGTAACACATAGCACATGCCTCATGGTGGGTGGCTGTTTCCCAGATGCTGTTTTATTCTTACCCAAAGCAGATTAACAAAACCCAAACCACACCGTATCGAGGCAAGCAAGCGCACGCACGAGAGAGAGAGAGAGAGAACGAGCGCCGCTTAGGACAGTGCTGCTGTTGCCCGTAGCAACAATATCAGTGGTTCCAAAGACAAACGTCGGTATACAATATTCAGTTAGAGTAATGGGGAGAAATAGACACTGTTATCCTCAAGCATGTCCTCCTGGGTGGTATTTTTGCTGTAATGGCAATAGCAATAGAAGGTGATTTGTAGTCTCCTATACAAATGTGCTGTGGTGGAGATAAGACAGTTTTAGATGTTTACTCAAAAGCAGCAGTGTGTTCTTCTTGACGAGTGGAGGTGGTTCTGCTGCAGAGGGAGATGACACATAGTCTATGTAAATTAATTGAGGTTTTAAGGGGCCACCAAAGGAGCAAATTGTTTGTTTTAATTGATACACATGGTTACAATGGTTACTGCTATTAGGCATTTCAACATTTCTTTGAATGAATGTGGTTATGGAGAAGAGAAAGAATAAGTAACTGCCAGTTTTTTGTAAAAGTGAAAAGAAATGAGATTGAATAACTGACATTTCAAAACACATGAGCTGTTTGATGCCAGTGTCCCAGTGACCCAATGTTTGGAGCGACACAGGGGGTAAAGTGTCCTCACACAGAGGGCAGGGCACAGGAGCAGGGCTGTGGCTGTGGCAGAGGAGAGAGGCTGTTAATCACACAGGTTCCTCTGTGTCTGCTGCAGCCTTGCCTCCGGAGATGGTCATCTCATCTGCTCCCTCTCTGCGCCTCTCTCTCTCCAGATCTCATATCCAAACAGAATCACATTAGCACACTATCTGTGCATAAACACCTGGTTTAATACAAGAGCCTCTTCACTGCTGTGTGTCACCTCATTCTTGTAAAATGCACCCCTCACATATTCATTGATTAATAACTGCTATATTTAAACACAAGAAAACATTTTCTTTGGCTGCTGCAGCAGTGTCACATATCTTTGAGGAAGACAGTTTTTCATAAATACAGCTACGCTCCATTAGAGCCAGTACGGTAATGCTTAAAATCTGAGTAAAGATAAAACTAGAGCAAAGGTCCAAGTGAACATAGTGCAAGCAATAACATAATGCCATTCCTGCAGATAAAATACCCATTTGCATATGACATGATTGTAAATAGAATTGATTGTAATCCTCAATATGCCTAATGGCAGCCACGTGGCCACAGGCTGTGGTTTCACATAGCGTTCTGGATGCAGATTGTTGATGTAAATAATTCAGAGCTGGTGAGTGTCTGTGTTGGAATGTTCCTCTCAGCTGCAGCTTGTTCATAATGCATAGTTACTTCCCACATTAGCAGTTTGCTCAGCTTTCATAACAGTAACAGTCCAGTGCAGCTCACTGTACAGGTCTGCACTGTCCAGGGAAGAAAGCAAAAGTGAAGCACACAGATAAGGCAAGGATCACTTCAGTCATGCAACTTTTATTAAGGGCTGACAAGTGATCTGTACCTCGCACCTCATTTGCTCCAACTGAAAATAAAATGGTAGACTGGGATGACAAATATATATTTTTCAAATATATATTGTTACAAAGAAACAAAGTCCATAATTTTCCGCACTAAAAAGTGCAACGGTTTAAATACTGTTACTATTTAAATCATTGCACTTTGAATACATGTCAGTAACATTCTAACTCCAAAGAAATGCATGACACCAGTAATTTCAGTAAAATAAACAGCACTTTATAATCTATAAAATTACTTGAGGAGCTGAATTGTCCAGCCTTGTCCTCCCTCTGACTCTTGGCCAACCTGATCATGAATTGTACAGCATAGCTTGCCCACTTAGCGCTCAATTACTTAGTCCAATGTGACTGCATGGTCATTATTTATTAATGCAAACTAAGCAATATCAGTTTCACTGTCCACTAGTGGATGAACAGACCTGCTCCACTGTTGTGGGAGTTGTGAGAGCTGTGACTCAATAGGATAATGCCTCTGCCACTGGCAAACAATGGAAATCAAAGATCACTGCTATGAATGAGGCAAGAAGCTGTGGCCGGGAGACACGCACAAAATGGATGTTTTTTTTTTAGACTCAAAAGGCTCAGCTCCTGACCCTGTGAGTAGAGTGCGCTGGTATGTTGTATTCACACAGAGTTGTTGTGTTACGTATGATTTTTAAAGCTAACAGCACGAGCATGTGTAGGCTAATCGATGAAGTGAACATTGATCAAAGCTTGTTGGGCAGTTTCTTTTTTCCATCAGTCAAGCGGGAGTTTTCTAAATGTTTTTCGTACGTCAGAATCCTAAAAAATCCATAACTGTGTGGAAATACTAATACAGCATACAACAAGGCTCTGTATTGGTGATGGTGACATTACAATTGTTTCCATTTCTGAGTTCTAGTTACAACCAGACTAAAGTTCCACAGTCACCTTTTGTACAATCACTTAAACTGACTCATATTAGGCCTCAGCTTCACAACCTAAGAACAACCTAATAAACTTGTAATAGTCACTTTAGAACTATGGGATTATTAATATTTTTTTGAGAAGGTCAGCCAACTTTGACGCAAAATAAGTGAAGCAGTGCTCTATCCATTACTAATTCACAACTGTTAGATATTAGAACGGTTTTGAAGATTGATGAAAAATGCACTTCTTAATCTGGAGACCATATCTGTTTTACCATCAGTCAACAGGAATAGCTTATTTGTATAAATCAGTGCTCAATTTTAGTTTGTTAAAAGCGTGTGTATTGTTTTTTATTATTAGCTAGTATCTGCTTCTGGATATTTTCCAAAACGGCAATCGTAAAAGATAATACCCATTTCCTTGCGTTTTGGGTTCTGTGTTAGTAATGGTCATTCTATAACATTCTAAAATCAAGTTTGTTGGTTTGTTTATTAATAGGATCCCCATTACCACAGACAAGCTGCCACTATTTTTAACGGGATCCAAATAAGATAATTACCCAAAAATATACAAGCCAGCCATGTACAAGTTCATTAAAATAAATAAAATGGATAAGTATAAATTTCAAATAATAAAATCTTTCAGTACCTTCAATGACAACAGTATTCACAGTTTTTTTAAGTTTGTTGTACTCTCTTTTCTGAGCTCATACACCTAGTTCATGATGCAATCTTTCACAGAGACACGTGCACGGAAATGTAAAGACAAAGTGAACGCACAAGCTCCGATATACACTGCGACGCAATTTATTATCAGCGGTACAGTAACTGGGGAAACATTTAGAGGGAGAGAAAGAGAGGCTTTGAATAATGAATGTGAAGAGCCCTGTTACACAGCAGACAAGGCTTTGAAGTGACATAACTTACTGCCAATGCTTCCATAGCATCACCCAGAGCCCAGACACAAAGACTAAGATAAAGGCAAAATGAGACGAGTGGTGAACAAAGAAAGTGATGAGAAATTTTAACCAATTATAGATTTCTTTTTCTAACTGCACCCAAATAACCTGTGATACAGAGGAAACTTTTTGATACATGAACATTTCTCACAGTTAGATACAATATAGAATAAAGCTGGATTGTACTGAAAATGTATTTACATTAACCAATTATAGATTTTTTTCTAACTGTACCCAAATAACCTGTGACATAGAGGAAACTTTGTGATACATGAAAATTTGTCATATGTCATATCATGTAAGATACAATAAAGAATATAGTTTGATTATATCAAAAATTACATTATATAGGATTATTACTATGTTATGGAGGTGATAAAGGACTTTGGAGTTTTTGGGTTTTTTTAATGGGTGAGATTTTTTCCATTGTGGTACAGAAGTCTATACTTTCTTCCTAGTATTACTAGTATAGGTTTTGAACATGGGAGAAAGTGTTTTGAGATTCATATAACATTGAATAATAACCTTTTAGCATGCTTTGCATGTAAGTCTTATTTTAGGAGCAAATATTAATGCTAATTATTAATAGCAATGACTATACAACCAATTAATCAAACTACACATAATTAAAATCCTGCTTTTATTAAGTATGCAATCCACTGTCATCGCCAAACTAAACCAATTTCATGGCTCTCAAAGCTCCGGAGAGAGCCATGACAAGTCGGTCCGAGAGTGCAGCTTACGTAATTAATGTGATTTGTATTCCATGAGTGAACAGTGGCTACTGAACATTGTTTATCACGCTGGAATCAAACCCCCTCCATGATCACTGTGTGTTTTTATATCACTCTCGTTCACGTGCTGATGTTTGGACATGTCACACTGAGTAACTGCTGCTTTGAAGGGCACTTGTAAAAGTCTCAGCATTAAAGTTGTACAGCAATAACTAAACCAGTGGTACTTTTTGTGATTGTTGTGGGCCAGAATCTTATGCCATGCTTCGTTTTTAAAAAGTAATTTACCATTGTTAAATGTCACACAAAAAATGCACTTTGTATACCTGCTCAGAAGGATATGTTTGCAACACAGTATGAGTTTCCTTGAAAACACAAGGATAATTAGGTTTTTTTTGTTTATTTTCCTGGCCAGCTAAAATTATTTACTTGTTTTATGTATACTATGAAAATCTTCCAAATGAAATACATAGTAAGAGTCTGTGGATTTTAAAGGAGAATTTTAAGATTATATAACTGAATTTTCAAGAAAGATGTGTTTTTCCATTCAGAACCCTTCTGAAAGGGAAAGCCAATATAGTTCATGTTTGGATCTGAGTCCACATCATCTATAATTTTAGTCATTACACACACAGCAATGAAGCAGGGTCTAAGATGAGTAGGCTGAAGCAAAAAAAAAATCAATATAGTGAATAAACCATATATTCTCTTAATGGATGTTTCCACAACGGATATTATCAAAAAAATAAAAAAAAAAAAAATTGGTAATGTTTCCCCTGTTTTTTTTACTCTAACACATGAGCAATCAAGGACCCCATCTCATGTTATTGTACAAGCAAATAGGCAAGCTGCTAAATATTGTGCTTTTTGTCTCCACAGCCACAGGACAAAGTCGTCCGGCTGGCCGCCCCCTTCAGGGACGTGGAGTGCTTCGCAGGGACCCCCAAATGGGTGGGACATGGGCACCAATAGAGAGGGCCGTGACTGCTACATCAAGTAAGTGCCCTGTGTTTAAGAAGAGAGGCTTGTCAGGGGCAGAAGGGGCACAGAGCTCTGTTAGACCCAGATGTTTTAGACTTCACTTCTAACCCGTGATTATTCCAGCCACGTCACAGCCTCCACACTGTCTCCATCTGTGCATTCAGAATACTGATTCTGCCGCTGCGCACTCCCTGCCCACAGAGACAAGAGAGGGAGCTGTCTTCTCTCTTCTCTCTGGCTCTATCTTGCTCTCACACTCCCGCACACCCACATTACTACTCATGCAGTGCTCCAAATGCACAACAAGGGGCTCGGAGAGTGAGGCTCTGCGCACCATGAAGATTTCACCTGTTCGGGGCCGCCTTCTCCTCTTTGGGAGTTTAACTGATCCTCACTGACGGACACTTTCACAGCAGGTACAGGGAATATCAACTGGTTGTGTGTGCGGCTGGATGCGAAGTTTGGACGTAGTGTAGTGTGTTGCATCTTTTTAATTGTCACACTTGAGATATAGCTGTTACACTGACACCTCTATCTATTTTAGTAGTTGTCTATTTGTCATAATTGCGTGGTTTTCTGCTGAAGGTGTCACACATGGGTTAGAGCACGAGAGCGTGATGTCAGAGCAGTTACATAAGAAGTAAGGAGCGGGGAAAGTGCTGGCAGAGGAGCGTGTCTGCTGGAGGAGAGGGCTGCGTCGACACACTGGTTTGCTAAATTTGAGGGAGACTCATGAATAATCCACTGTCTGTTTGTGTGACTGTCAGTGCTCGGGCTCTGGGATGCTGCAAGCGAAATTGTTTTAAATGTAACACATGTTTAGACAGCGTGACAGGGACACATGAATAAACCAGTATGTCTTTAATATTTACAGTGTGACAGTGCGTAATATATGATGTAATAGAATCATCTTATAGTGTGGGTATGCATCCATCTGCTGCTTGAGGAGAAACTACTGTCCAAGCCTTTAACTTATGCCTATAAATCTTTGTATCTTTGTGTGTCGTTTGTCATTGCATTCATCTGATTGGCTTCATCACAACATTTACAAATGAACTGACAGAGATTGATTACCACCTAGGCGGTCTGGCAGATCCACAGCTGGTTCTCGCTCTGCCATCCCTGTGAGAGAAAAAACCCCAAAACAAAACGATTCTAATTGTGTAATTTAAGAAGGTTAACATCCAGGAAAAAGCAAATATGACCACAGAGTTTGGCTGAATTGTCTGTGGCTCTTTAGGAGTCAAAGTAACAGGATAATACTGCAGCTAACAAGATTTTCTGTCTGCCCGTCAAAAATGCGCATTAAGATTTGTACACTTTATCTGTTCCTATGTACTCACCAGTGTGTCTTTTGTGATTGCTGCATAGATTGTTGTGGAGCTACACTAGTGGCTAATGAGTATGATTAGGCACCATTTGATACATGGCTGTCCGCACAATGGGAATGTGGCCATGTTTAGCAGGTGGCTGAGGGGAGAGGAGACTGTATTCTTCCTGAATGCACAGGTCCATATGGCCGTGATTTGTACCCAAGCTGTTGGAGATGCAAAACACAAATCCAGGATCAAACCACAGGAATTAGCCTGAAGGCCCTAGAGGTTTGGAGATTTGTGGAGGTGACTGACTTCACTTAGCATGGTTAGCTTAAAGGTCTTATATTATGCAAAATTGACTCTTGTGAGCACATATCAAACATATCTAGAGTTGTGTTTTGATTTATTCACCCATGTACGAGTAATCCTTCATTATTAGTCTGTCTACATCTCCAAAGCTCAAAATGTTCTGTTTCACCTTATGATGTCATGTTCAAGTTAACAGCTTTTAACAGCAGTTAACATTTTACCTTTTGTTTAGAAGAGAGTTTAAAAACACAGTGGAGCACTTCCTATATTACCACATGACATCACAAGGTGGCGCAGAGTGTTTTCTGTTTGAGAGAACAACCTAAACATGCAGGGTTTGAGCCATTTAATTTGAATTTCATTGCTGATGAACAAAACGTGTCTCAAAAATTTCTGTAGCGCCATGGGCCACTTGACCTCATGTGCTAATAGTGTAGTGCCTACATCTTCAGCTAAAGTACAGTCATCTTTTTAAAAATAAGCTTTGAAACATGGTAGCAGCAGACCCTTGAAGAGCTCAGGTGAACATATAGTCAGCTCTTTCAGCAATGCCACAATGTAAAAATCGTTAAGAGAAAGCTAGATGGAGATTTCTACTCCAATGTGGTTCACAATAGTCTAGGTCCATCAAGTTTATGTTTGGCCTGCAGCAATTCAGTCTCACTTTCTGTTCATCATGACACTACGCTCAAAATGTTATGCTATTTTCTGACACCGTAGCATTTGGTACCTAACACCACAGTCGAGAATATTGTACTATATATGAAGAGTCCAATTGCAGAAACGGATATCTCCTTTTTGAAAAGCTCCTACAAATATATATTTTTCTTTTTGTTACCATCTACAGATAATAACAATAATGTATAGTGGATTTTATCAAGGAGGAAAGGAATAATATTTAGATGACCTTAAAGTATACTTGGCTTTTTAAAATATATAAAGAGTGCAAGCCGCACATATCTGTTTTTGCAAATTAACTCTTCATAGGTACATAAATCAAATTGATTATGTGCAATAATGTGTATGAATGAAGACAAAATAGGTATTAGACTTGATGATCACACATCACAATAAATATAATAACAAAGAGCAAAAATATAAATGTAATAATACATTCAAAATAAGTAGCAAAAATAAAGACAATTGTGTAAGTACAAGTAAAAATAAAAATAGAAATAGAAATACAGTAAATATATAGTAAATAAATCTGGAGTAAATGTGAACAAACCAAAATGAAGTAATGCTGAAAAGACCATAACAACGATATGAATCCAGGAGACCCTGAAATTTTACAGTGTGTCTACATGCGTCACTGTCTGAGAATCGTCATCACAGAACCTGCAGTACTTGTGAACAACTTGAACAATAATCTTTAAAACAAATCTCCCAAAATTATGGCTTTGAGACAAAATGATGATACATTTTCTAAATGATTTTCCTTGATAATGGCAGCTCTATTCAAATGGTATGAGATATTTCAAAAGAATGGTTTATTTGGACACATTACAACAAAGTAGAGGTTTGAATGTTTATAGTGCAGGTTTAGACCTACTCAGTGAAACAGGTTGTTTTCCTGAAATTGCCTTCAAACTCCACACTTATAACCACCAACATGTTATTCTGGCTGTTAAATAAGAGCTTTTATTATAGCTGTGTCAATAGCTGGAGCCATTATTGAATCTTTTCCAAGCTATCGGTTGACAGTTATCTTTGAACATCTTGATTCTTTGGCTGTTTTTGTCAAAGCGCTGGGATTGTGACTGACAGATCGCACTGTGTCTTTGTGCTATGAAAGATTAATTGTTAGTATTTGCGCACAAATAGTACATGCTTGGAGAGTATCTGTCAAATTACACACTGTCTGCCCACGGCTTGAATTAACCCAACAGCACTGGCGCCATACGGAGCTGTCGATGCCTTTGCAGCCGGAGAGGAATAAGTGAAAGACGCTGAGGAGGGGGAGCAGCGAAGGACTGACTATGTGAGAACAACACGAGATATGCGCATTTTTTATCCGCACAAGGCACGGGAGAGTAATTCAATTGCAAGGATGAGGGAAAATGCACTGTCAGGGTAAATTGCAAGGGTAAGTAAAGGGTCAAATAGGGTTCAGTTTCAGACTGCAGGTTTCTGTGTGCAGCCAAATAGTGATGGCAGCAATCCCGGTGTTCATATCCAGGACTTAAAGAGGTAAAAGAGGTCTGACACTGTTGGTGCTGCACAGCTTATCATTAAATAATTAAGCAAATATTACATTCAATTACAATTACAGATTTTTTTCATCATGGTTCAGTGATGAGAAAATAGCCAAAACTGAAGTATTACTACAAGCAGAACACACACAATCCATTACTCCTATAACCAGCTGTAATAGTTCCTCTTCCCCTAATGATGAACTGGTAATTTTTGTAACAATAGTTGGACCTTCACCTGTGTTCAGTTTTGTGTTTTTTCACTGATCAAACCATTAACTTATTTCTTTCAGCCACGTGTCCCAGAGCAGCTCCCTGGAGGAGGTGCGTTTGGAGGGGGACAAGTTTGTGGCACCTGCGCCCCGTAAGGTGGAGATGCGACGGGACCCAGTGCTTGGCTTTGGCTTCGTAGCAGGCAGCGAGAAACCTGTGGTGGTGCGTTCAGTCACACCAGGTAAAGTGCCCCAGCTGTTTTCAACACTTTAATGTTCAACAGTGGCTTATTTCGTCCATGGCCAGTGCCCTCTCACTCCCCCGAGGAGTTTAAATCCTTCTAAAATGAGCTCAGGAAAGAGGAGGGAAGCCTATCTAGTGTTCAGCTTACGTAGATGATTCATTGATTTTAACTGTGCTCGATGAGTAAGCATTCATTAGTGCTGTGAGCCACAACACTAGAGATGGATAATCGAGTAACATGATTTAGCTGTAGTGTGTAGACCTAAACTCTTTTATTGGTGTGATGTCAGGTGGTCCGTCAGAAGGAAAGCTGTTTCCAGGGGACGAGATCATCATGATCAACGATGAGCCAGTCAGCTCAGCACCCAGGGAGAAGGTCATCGACCTCGTCAGGTATGACAGTATTCAACAGGGCCAAATAGAGCCTTCAGAAAGTAATTTTATGAGAGCTTTCAAGAGTATTACATTTGCAGTAGTATGTTCTATTTATAGTATAGTTCAATAGTCCATAGTCCAGGCTATTTGTCTGTAATTGTCTGTCACTTTCATAACTTTGTATAATTCACATTTTCTCATGAATATAGCAGTCATAGACATGGAGCATGCTTCAGTTACACTTGAGCAACATTGTTATTCAATTAACTCAATATCATACTATAGATAAACTCTCCAACAGTTTAGATTGCAATTAGCATTTCATATCGTTATTTTAATTCTTCTGTAGAAGCTGCAAGGAATCCATAATGCTGACCGTGGTCCAGCCGTATCCAGTAAGCCCCTTTTGCATTGTTATGGATTGTTTGAGTATGTTTGGATCTGATTACTTTGTTGACTATGCAAAGACAACTCATTAATCACACCATATGCTAATGTTGGCAGTGCTATAGTGAGGACATTTCTGAGAGTAAAAGCTTGGCTAACACCAAAACAGGGGAGATCTCAGTACTGTTTCCAAGTGTGTTAGATCCTCAGCAGACCCCACATGAACTTTCCGACTCAACATTCACAGGAGAACCAGATGGTGGTGTGCAGTGCCAGAAGCATATATTTGGCTTTTGTTTACAGTCTACATAAAAGTCAGAACAAATACAGTTACGCTTGAATTCCTTCCAAAAATAGGCAGCACCATCAGCAGAGCTAAGACATAGAAAACAATATGTTTCTAGTTGGTTTTATAAAATTATTACATTTTAAAAATACAGACCTAGTCATTCTCTAGATTTAAATATATATGAAGCTCAGTAGTGCTTGTGGTATAAAAAGGACCTGTCATGTTTAAAGAGAGGAACATGACGCCCTTGAAAAGGGATCCATGAATATTTTATAAATGAAGTGATCTTCTTTACTTTTCTCTTCTCTCCCAAAGTCCCCTAAATCAGCGTTCATCAGTGCAGCCAAGAAGGCCAAGTTAAAGTCTAATCCAGTCAAAGTGCGCTTCGCAGAAGAGGTTATCATCAATGGACAGATCCCGGTAAGACTTCTATTTAATTTTCTCTGCATAAAAGTTCTCCCCACAGACCTAAATGGACAACCTAGCTTCCATACTCTCAAAGATGAAATGTTCTATTTGATCTGGCTGGGGCTAGATAGACATTATTATTGTATGTCCTACATGTTTTAAATTATGTTTGTGTTATGTAATATTGTTTCTCTGACTGTATAGGAAACTGTGAAGGACAACTCTCTTCTTTTTATGCCAAATGTTCTGAAGGTGTATCTGGAGAATGGGCAAACCAAATCTTTTAAATTTGACACCAACACATCCATTAAGGTAGGTATTATTAGTATTGATATAATAATGACCTGAAGATTTATAGTATAATATACAAACAACATCTTATAAATTGTATTGTGTTCTCCTCATCTTCATGTGTCTGAAATTGTCCATTATTATCTCTTCTGAAAGGATGTCATCTTGACCCTGCAAGAAAAACTCTCCATAAAAAGCATTGAGCACTTCTCTCTTATGCTGGAGCAAAGAGCAGAAGGATCAGCAAGTAAACTCATGCTCCTTCACGAGCAGGAGATGTTAACTCAGGTAAGGACAAACCTACCTTCTGTCGCCATAGTAATACGTGTTATACAAAAGCCAACGTGATTATAGGCTCAAACCGTTACATACTGAAGCATTACTGAAAGCACTCGCCAAGTCACAACAGGTTTCAGGGGTAAAACACAATATAAGGAGTGACTTATGAAACAGGCTCATGGCAGATGGGGACATTGACTGATGGCTTTCTATTTATCTCATTTATGTGCTCAAGGTGACGCAGAGGCCAGGGTCACACAAAATGAAGTGCTTTTTCCGCATCACGTTCGTCCCAAAGGACCCTGTAGAGCTGCTAAGACGAGATGCTGTGGCGTTTGAGTACCTCTATGTGCAGGTTAGTATCTAGAGAGAAAGGCAATGGTGTGTGAGTGATAATGGACTACAGTCTATGGGTGTTTGTTATGGTTGCTGCTTCTAAGTAAAGTGCAGTGTAACCTATCTGTGTCTGTCTCCTCTAGAGCTGTAATGACGTGGTATTGGAGAGATTTGGGTCAGAGCTGAAATACGACACTGCCCTTCGTCTGGCTGCACTGCAAATGTACATTCTAACCATCAACACCAAGCAGTCCCAAAAAGTTTCTCTCAAGTACATTGAGTAAGTGGACTAGGTTTTATGTTTAGCTAAACCAGTGAACAACCCTTTTAGGAAACTAGTCTGTTTACGTTACATCAGTGTAAAGTATTTCTGCCATGACTGAAGATTCACCAGTGCTGCCCTTAATGACTAATTTGAGCACTGTCACTTAATCAATGCCCCACCCCTGGTCAAACTATATTGATTATATCCTTTGAGTTACAACTTCAATTATGACATGAGTGAGTAAGGGACATCCTCTAATGTTTATGAATGATGTCTCCATAGGAAGGAGTGGGGTTTGGGATTGTTTCTGCCTCCTGCTGTGCTTTCAAGCATGAAAGAGAAAAACATCAAAAAAGCTCTCACTCACATTCTCAAAACCAACCAGAACTTGGTGCCTCCTGGTAAAAAGGTACCACTCCTCCTTTTATTTAGTCATTGTTTCAATTTATGCCTTATTATTCTATGATGTTGCACACTAGAATAATTGGTGTTAGTAAGTTTTATATTAGTTTTTCCTCAAAACCTTATACTAACATCACTAAATGTGTCATTAAGAGACACATTAGGTTGTCTTTGCTTTTATCTCTGATTGACATGGTTCTGCAATATATATTTACTCCACACTACCACCTAGTGGAAGATCATTTTTTAAGTTTCATTTCTGCAGAATAAATTTCTATTGCCTATTCTGTTCACTCTGTATAACACTGAACACTTATTCTGAACACTACATTCTACTACTTCTCAAATATATTGTTACTTGTTGAATGTTAAATCACATTACTGTTTTTGTTCCCAGTGCTAAAGACATAAAACATTTTGTGTTACATTTCATTGTTTTCTCATTTTTATTTCAGCTGACTGCTTTGCAAGCAAAGGTTCATTATCTCAAATATCTCAGTGACTTAAGACTGTATGGTGGTCGGGTTTTTAAATCGACGCTTGTCGTAAGTATTATCATATCATAAATATATTTAATCAATAATGCCTTATACATTTAAAACAATTATTTACTTGATATTTACAGCAAGGTGAAAAGCACACAGAGGTGACTTTACTAGTGGGACCCAAGTATGGAATTAGTCATGTGATTAACACCAAGACAAATCTGGTAGCACTGTTGGCAGATTTCAGCCATGTCAATCGAATCGAGATGTACACAGAGGACGAGAAAAGAGTCCGAGTGGAGCTACACGTCTTGGATGTAAAGGTCAGTATGTTAAATATTTCACAGAAGTGTGGATTGTATGAGTAAAATCAGTTCATTTTGTAGGAACGTCAGTCATTACCACCTCATTCTACACCCCATTTATTTCGTACTTTTGTGATTTGCTTATCTGTGTGTTTCACAGCCCATCACTCTCTTAATGGAGTCTGTGGACGCAATGAATCTGGCCTGCTTGACTGCTGGCTACTACAGATTACTGGTGGACTCTCGACGTTCCATCTTCAACGTGGCCAAAAACACAGACACAATGGATAAAAGTATGTCTGCAAATTTTATTTGGCTTATGTATAAATCTAGCAGATACAGACATTGACATTTTTTCACTTTGCAGATAATGCTGCAAGGCTAAAGCAGAACTTCCAGTCTATAGAATGTACCTACAGCACACCTCATAAAGGATGTGAAGACAGAAACAGCCAGAGGTACAGCCAAGAATTCTCAGAGCAGGACTGTGAATACCTCAACCACGCTCGGTGTGAAGGCCAGCCAGTCTACGTCACTGAGATCCACCAGACTCAGCACACAATGCACACAGTGGAAAGAGCAGAGTGCTGCCGAATACCCTGCACCCAAACTTACCTCAATGTCCCAAGGTCCAAATCCCAAGAGACCTCCAGGAATGCAAAAGTTTCATTCATTTTTGGTGACCCACCCTTGGACAGTGTGAATCCTCAAAATCTGGGTTATCAGAGACTTATGGAGGACAACCCAGAGATCCTAGACAATCATAGCCACATGTACAGGCGGCTTGAGGAGGACTATAAGTTGATGGATGCCATAGAAGACGGAGACGGATATCAATATGCCACAAAAATCTTTGGTCAAAGTGAGTGCATTGAGGAGCCACTGTTACATGATATTTGCTACGCCGAGACCACGGACGACGCCGAGGATGAGGACGACATCAGCTGTGAGGAAGACTTAGTGATGAGTGACATAGACAAACCCATGCTGCTCTCACTCTCAGGGTCCAGCGACGACATCATCGACCTGACCTCCCTCCCTCCCCCACCAGAGGGCAACAACGAGGAGGACAATGACATACTGCTTCATTCACTTAACATGGCCATCGCAGCCCCTCCCCCGGGCTTCAGGGACAGCTCCGATGAAGAGGAGCACCCAGGCCCCGGGAGAGGAGCGCCGAGCAGCGATATCCCAGTGTCCCTCATAGACTCAGTGCCCACACATGGAGCAGGGCCAGAGGGAGCACCGCTGGACCATGCTGTGGTGTCTACTTTGCAGGCCCTAGAAGCCCTCGCTGCGTCTGAAGAACAGAGTCCTGCCCAGTCCGAGAACAGCACAGGTTCTACTTACACTATTGTCACATTCATCCATTAACAGCCATTCAGATCCATTCATTGTTTATTTTTGTTTTGTTTTTTTCAATAAAGCCCTTTTCATCAGTTTCTATTTGTGTCTTTGTCTTGTTTTCCTTTTTTGCATATCCAGTTTTTCTTGTCACTGTATATTTTTGTTAAAATTTGTGTTTGCATTTTTTTTTGTCATTGGTTGTATTGTTTTCTTGTGCTAGATATTCAGACATTTTTATTTACAATGTGTCATGTTTCACTGAATTTAGAACAGTACTTGTCAAATTAGGCATGTATTCATCATAAACATTTGTACACTCATTTTCATTCATCCATCCACTTCATCATCCAATTGTTACTTGGTTCTAAATTTGACATTGTTAACTTGCTGCCTGTCTCTTTGTGGCATACAGGTGTTGAAATATCACGAGCCTTTAGCCCAGAGTCGTCCGATTCCGGTAATGAAACAAACTCTTCTGAAATGACGGAGAGCTCAGAGCAGGCGTCCGCTCACAGGCACCCGGAGAGCCACCTGAGGTTCCACACAGCGCAAGCAGAAGGATACCATGTTGCCCATGACGACCAGACTGAGGCCCCATCCGCCGGTGACTGTGGAGCAGGAGCCAGGCCAGAGACAGAGGAGGACAAATCTGCTAATGTTGCCTCATCACAGATTTTCCATTCAGATGGCGGTGAGATGGAGCCAGAGACTATGGAGATTAAATCCGTAAGTGAATACTTTACTAAGATGCATATGGGGCCAGTGATGAGCAGGCAGAGAGGTAAACAGTGGGAGTCAGAGCCAAGAGACACCTGTGAATCCCCTGAAGGTTCTTCCCATCCACCAACCCAGGACTCCCCAAGAGAAGATACCCCACATTTAGTCGGCAAGTATCAGGCTTTCACTGTGAGAGACTCGTATTATGTGAACCAGCTCGACCTGGGGCGAACCCACTTAAAAGACAAGCACCAAAAATGGCAACGCGCACCTGGAAACAAAACAGCAGAAAATCCATCTCCAGATTGTGGAAATGACTCACAAACTTCCAGCACCTCCAGAGTGACAATAAAAGGAGATAAACAAGACTTGATCGAACGAAATCAGCAATTAAATATCCACTCGCCATCAAAAGGGCCAGTCCCCAGTGAAAGTCCCACCTCACAAGAGAATGAGAAAACGTCTTCAGAGCAGGAGGTGGCCCGGTTGCATGATTTCTATGTGAATAAGCGCATGTCTTCTTTACAAAGTGAGGGCATCCATTCACTCCAGAGTTCGCAGTGTTCTTCTATAGATGCCGGTTGTAGCACAGGGAGTAGCAGCTGTGTCACTCCCATGGACTCACCTCTTTGCACAACAGAAAACGTGCACATCATGTCAGAGACTGCGGTGAAGGCTGTGGGCTACGGAGCAGGTGAAGAGAAGAGTTACCCAGGCCCGTTTAAGGCAGGGCATCCCATGGACCCCACACTGCTGAGGAGGATCCATGCAGCTACAAGCGCTGAGCCAGGATTTTCTATTACAAGGGATGGAACTCACAGAATGGCCAAGATAAAAGAAACCACAGGTAAAGCCTAACAGAACAGTATATATAGTATATATGCCATGTTATGTGTTTGATATATAGAATTATTTTTTTAAACAAATAAAATGTGACCAGTGACATAAATATGAACATAAATATATGAACATTAATGAAACACAAAAACACACATACAAACAAAACGTTTCAACTGCTCTGCCATTACTCCATAAACATTATTAATGATAAAAAATAATGAAATAAGATACAGACTAATACAAATTACACACTTATGAATGTCTGAGTGAATGGTTGAATGCATGAATATGAGCTTTGTATCAGGAAGATGCTTAACAGTTCTCTGTGTTCTCCTACTACCCCTAGTGTAGCTTGCACACAGCTGAAGAAGGTTGAAGTGGAGTCATCTTTAGCTCTCTGTACTGAGACCACCACCACCACAGCCATGTCACCATCATCATTAACAAGTAGCACAGAGCACATGGGGCTCACAGCGGGCAGCCCGGAGCCCGACCCGCACGCCACGGCCTTCCCCCCGAGCGGATCATGTACATGTGCCCACAAAGCTGGAGGCCTCCGGAGGTCACACAAGGTCCGCCTACTCAGGAGGAGCTGGAGCAGTACAGTGCCAGGCGCCAAGAGCTTCGAAGCACTGTTTGAGAAGACCAAAGCTACACTGACAGGAAGGAGTGGTGGTCAGTCTGAAGACCCGCTGAAGTCCGGCAGGACATTACCCAAGAGCTGTTCCCAGGGCTCAGTCTCTTTGAATTCTTCAGGTAGCAGGCTTTTGAGAGGAGCTTCATCTCTGCTGCCACAGATGGACATGAGCACACTGAGGTGCCATGGACCACTTAGTCACTGCTTTTTGTGGAGAAAGGAGCACAGTCAAGATGAAGAAGACCCGACGATTGGGCAGGAAGACACAAATGCTGTTCTGAATGACATGAGCCTCAAAGCAAGGTTGGCCTGTGTAAATGCAATGAAGGGAAAAACATACAGTCTTCACACAGGGTTTGCACTGGCACGGAAGGATGCCTTAGATATGATTGCTTTGCTACGTGCCAGTGTAGGCCACTCAGGTGAACGAGCAGAGGGCCCAGGGGCGAGTGAGGCGGACACAGAGACGCTCTCCCAGCTGCTCCTAATGCAGGTCAAAGTGCTGAGCAGCGCCTGCAGTCGGATGGTCGATGAGTACGGAAGCCCGGAGGAGCTGCTACTCACCCTGACCCACAGCTTCCATACCCTGTGCTGTGTGGCTCAGGCCTGTATGTCTCTGGCGGACAGTTTGAGCAGTGAGACCAGCCGTGCTCAGTTGGTGGTCCAAGTGGACGAGGTGGTCATGAACTACGTGAGTCTGCTGAAAGCTGCAGAGGCGGCTTCAGGACGATCCCCGAGTGACCAAAGTGTGGACGCATTGACACACCACTCTGCCACCATGTCCGCTGTTATCAACGCACTAACGCACTCACTGACCACACAACTCGACAAATAAAAACTGTAACCTAAGTATTGATTTTAAAGCCATACATAAGAGACATATAAGAGAACTAATGTGCTGACTGCTGTGAAAAAAAGATTGCCTTGTGTATACAGTATTTTAATATATAAAGTAAAAAGAAATTATATCAATTATTAAAGTTTTAAATAAGCTCTATTAACTTGCCACCCAGACACATATGACCCTCGCCTCTGAAATATATCACCATAATAAATTATTGATTATTTATACATTCAGTATTAATGTAGATTATTTAGATTACTAGAACCTTGTTTATAATTTGTAAGATATTATGTTGGGAACAAACCAAACACTTTATTAGCTACTGACAAATCATTGCACAGGACATGTTTATGGACAAATAAAAGAGATGCCTATGAGTTTTGCTGGGTTTGGACTAATTTATTGCAGTTTACCACTAAGTATTTTCTTGTTATTTTGTCAACAACATTAAAATCTAAAGAGTGTTAACACAACTTTTGTCTATTTTTACTATGTAAAATGTATTGCTTTTAAGGTGCCTAGTTTCCAAGTGGCATCCTCTTCAAAGAGAATTATTCATTCAGAAAAGTATCTTGACCTGTGTTTAGTTTTAGAAGAATGTTTAATAATTCATGATTTTACCATTTTAGCCGAACCGAGAGTTGGTAATGTGTGCTCTAATGATGACCATGGCCCATTTTACTTGCTGCAAAGAAGAATGTTCATTTTTAGCATAATAAGAATTTGCTGCAAGTTGCTTTCAAAGAAAGAAGGAGCTCTATAAATACAGATATTGAGAGCAGTCTTCAATAAGATAAAGTGGTACTAAATGTCTTTAAATTAGCATCAAGATGTGAATGTTAAGTTAAATACATTTTTGATTAGACTTATTCACATGCATGATAAATTATCATGTCTGTTGCGTGTGATTAAAGGGAAGTGGTGCTAGTTAATAATACACATATGCACCTGTTACTTTCACACAAACTTCCAACATCATAAACCTCAACATCAGTTTTACAATGCTTTGAGTACTACATGAAGACAGGACCATAACTTTTGTTCAATGATTTTGTGAAAATGTTCCCCCAGCTGGTAAGTAAAGATCATTATTGTAATAAGATTGTTAAGTGTTAATTGATGTAACCAATGCCATTAATTACACTAATTACCATTTTAAAATCTGAACACACTTTTTGAATTTATTATTCTTCTTGATAGATTATTTCCATTGTAGATTCTCAGTGAAGGCATCAAAACAGTAAACAAAGTAAACAAAATCTTAAAATAGCTTGTTTTACATTTTAAAATATATATATTATATAAATATATAAAGTTACTCTTTATTTTGAAACCTGCTTTCAACTGTTGGCATTTCTCGACCTTAACATGGCACAACTGTGAAGTGAAAACCATTTTAGGAAGGTTTTTAGCCCTGTCAACAAAGCAAAGGGTGGCTAATTTGAGGATTTTAAGATATATACATATATATATATATATATATATATATATATATATATATATATATATATATAGTGTGTGTGTGTGTGTGTGTGTGTGTGTGTGTATATATATATATATATATATATATATATATATATATATATATATATATACACACACACACACACACACACATATATATATATATATATACTTGAGTATTTGTTGATTTCTTTATGTATTTTTTTTTCTTTCTACATAATTCCATATATTTGGCATCATATATTTTCTTTCTTCTGTATATAAAATATATAATATATTCCATATATAAATTGTAGAAAGTAGTAAACATTGCAACACATAAAAATAACATTGAATGAGAAGGTGTGTCCAGACTTTTGACTGGTAGAGTAATGTAATTACTGCTTTAGATATTTCCATGTTATCTAAATCATGGCATTTTGCTCACTGCTTTTGAATAGATCCACGTGGCGGTGCTGGGTCTGTGGTTTTCCTTCCCTATGGTGACCGCTCGGATTGTGTATCCAAAGATGTTGCCATGTAATGTCACAGAGCGTGGCAACAGCAGCGAGGTGACTGTAGACTGCACAGAGACAAATCTCCAGGTCATCCCACCGGGCATACCACAAGAGACCACCAACCTGACCCTCACCATAAACCATATCCACCATTTAAACTCCTCCTCCTTTCAAGGACTAGACAACCTGACGGAGATAGACTTCAGGTGCAACTGTGTGCCTGTCAAAATCGGCCCCAAGGATAACATTTGCATTAAAAGTGTGGAAATAGCAGATCACACCTTTTTAGGCCTTGGGAATCTCAAAGCGTTGTATCTTGACGGCAATCAGCTCTATGAGATACCAAAACACCTGCCACCAAATCTGTTGTTGCTCAGCCTGGAAGTAAACCACATATATAGCATTTATAGAGAAAATCTTACCGGCCTCACAAATGTCGAGACTCTGTATCTTGGTCAAAATTGCTACTTTCGAAACCCATGTAACAATTCGTATTACATAGAGGATGGAGCATTTTTACAACTTAACAATTTAATGCTTTTATCTGTGAAGTCAAATAATTTATCCTATATACCACACAATTTGCCCACTAATCTGAAAGAACTGTACCTTTATAACAATAACATAAGAGAAGTCACAGAAGAAGATTTCAAAAACTTGACCAATCTGGAGATACTAGATATTAGCGGCAACTGTCCTCGCTGTTACAATGCCCCTTTTCCTTGCACGCCCTGCCCAAATAACTCCCCTCTAAAAATACACCCTAATGCGTTCAAAATGCAGACAAAACTTACAGCCCTGCGTCTCCATAGCAACTCTTTGACAGAAGTTCTCAAGGATTGGTTTAGAAGTACAACGAAGCTCAGAGTTCTAGATCTTTCATCAAACTTTTTATCCAAGGCTGTGGGAACTTTTGACTTTCCCATTGTTCTTGGCAAACTGGAAGAACTGGACCTTTCGTTTAACTATGAACTGCAGAGATATCCTCAGACTCTGAATCTGAGCCAACACTTCTCACGACTGAAATCTTTAAGAGTTCTCCGAATGAGAGGTTTTGTTTTCCAGCAGCTAATAAAGGAGAGCATTGCACCTTTAAAATCTTTACAAAATTTAGAAGTTGTTGATTTAGGAACAAACTTTATTAAAACTACAAATCTTAGCATCCTTATGGAATTACAAAGTTTTAAAATAATCAATTTGGCTGATAATAAAATCTCGACTTCCTCTGATGAACAGGGGACTCTGGGTTTATCAGCATCTGAGTTAGAAAGGTGGTCTCCTATGTCGTCTGGGGTGGAGTACGATAGCATGGATGTAAGAGAAATTCACTATTTCAGGTTTGACGAGTACGCACGTAGCTGCAAACACAAAGACAAAGAACTAGGAACGGTCACCTCTCTAGTGAACAAAAGGTGCAGTAAGTTTGGAAAGAGTCTGGACGTGTCTAGAAACAACATTTTCTTTTTGAGTCCTCGCTTTTTAAATCTTGAGGACCTGAGGTGCCTTAATTTGTCCAGTAACCTAATGAGCCAAAGTCTGAATGGCTCCGAATTCTCCAATCTCCCAAATTTACAATACCTCGACTTTTCCTCAAACCGCCTAGACCTGCTGTATTCAACTGCCTTCAAAGAGCTAGAAAACCTGGTGATTTTAGATATAAGTAATAACAACCATTACTTTGAATCAGAAGGCCTAACGCACATGCTCAATTTTACCAAACACCTCAAGAATTTGACCACACTGCTAATGAACAACAACCAGATCTCTACTTCCACTAACACTGAGTTAGAAAGTGAATCGCTGGAGAGGTTAGAGTTCAGGAATAACCGTTTGGACATTATGTGGAGGGACGGTGACACCAGATATGTTAATTATTTTAGTAAACTATTCAATCTGAAAATCCTTGACATCTCTAAGAACAACTTACACTCCCTCCCTCCTGAGCTGTTTGCCGGCCTGCCAAGCAAATTGTCAGAACTGTACTTGAAAGGCAATGGGCTCACATACTTTAACTGGACGAAGCTACAACATCTGCGTTCTTTGCAGGTTTTAGATCTGAGTGGGAACAGCTTAAGTACTGTGCCAGATGTGCTGTCAAACTGCAGCAACTCTCTTGTACGGCTAATTTTACACAAGAACAAAATAGTGACACTGTCAGTAGATTTTCTCAAAGATGCTTTCAATTTAAAATATCTGGATCTTAGTTTTAATTTGATTGAGTATGCTGAGGTATCCAGTTTTCCAGATAATGTTGTAAAAAATATGGATATGCTGCTTTTGCACAATAATAGCTTTAAATGTACTTGCAGTGCCACCCCTTTTATTAAATGGCTCAACGATACAATGGTAACGATTCCCAAACTGGGTACAGATGTAGCCTGTGTTTTTCCAGAGGCACAAAAAGGCAATTTGGTTTTATCAGTGAACTTGTCAGCCTGCCAGCACAGTTACCTGTCCATTGTCCTCTACACTCTGATGACTTCCTTCATTCTGTGCTGCATCACCCTCCCTATATCCAGTCATCTCTTCCTATGGGACGTGTGGTACATCTACCACTTTTTAAGGGCAAAGCTCAAAGGCTACAAGCGCCTCACCTCCCCGTCTTCTGTTTATGATGCTTTTGTGATATATGATAAAGAAGACGCCGCCGTGATCGAGTGGGTCACCAAGGAGATGTGCGTTCAGCTGGAGAGGCGTGGGGATCGCAGGCTCACACTGTGCCTGGAGGAGAGAGACTGGATACCTGGATGTCCACTCATTGATAACCTGTCCCAGAGCATCCACAAGAGCAAGAGGACAGTGTTTATTCTCACTAACAAATATATAAAAAGTGGGAACTTCAAAACAGCTTTCTACATAGCAAATCAAAGGCTTATGGATGAAAAAGATGATGTTATTATACTGATCTTCTTGGAGAAAGTGGTGTGTAATTCGAAATACTTGAGACTGAGGAAGAGACTGTTTAGTAAATCTGTGCTAGACTGGCCCACTAATCCTCAGGCCCAGCCATACTTCTGGTTTTGTCTTAGAAACGTGCTGGCTACAGAAAGTCACAAGCAATACAACAACCTTTTTAAAGAGACTTTGTAATTCATTATGCATAAACATAAAACGGTTCTTTTTTGTTAAGTAGGCTTGACTTACTGTTAAAAAACCCCAAAAAGCTGTAAAAATACATTTTGAGACTCAAAATGTGTATTTCTTTGTAAAAGTATGGAGACTTGGGGAATTTTTGTTGTAATATGATAAGATTTGAGCTGTAGATGGTTGAAAAAGTAACTTATGTGACAAATTATTGGTTCACTCTGCTACTTGTCTGTCACAGTTCAGGCCTTTTGAATGATACTGTCTATGAAATCGTTTATCGCAGTATATCTGTAGCAATATATCGTGCTTCATAATTTGTTATCAGGCCTAATGTTAAGAAACTCTTTCAAATAAATACAACTCATGTTTTCCATTCTATAGTGAAATTTATTACTTCTGGGCTGTGGAGGAATTTGAAACTGACAGCTAAAGCTTGTCAATAAAATGTGGAAGTGAAACAATCTGACTTCTTTATATTCACACACCACTTCCACTTCTTCAACTGTGTACCAGTGTGGCAGCTAGACACAACTTCACTTGGTGATGGACACTGATGCCATGTAATAATGGTAAGCTTTATCATTTTTATTTTGAAATCTACTTTTAACAGACCACTCAACAGAAATATTAATGAAGAATATTTAAAATGTATGTTGTTAGTTTCATTTAGTGATAACATTGTAAGTACGAATACTTGCTAATACTATGATACTGTTGAATGAATCCAAAACTAATTATTAAATTTAACCGTGTAACTGTGACTCTTAACAGATTATAAAATAGTTTAACTTAATGGTTACCGCCCCCTGGTGGATATATTTAAAATATTATGCCTCTTGTCCATTTACAGGCAGTCATTATATGGTTCTACTTATTGATGAGTCTGGAAGTTGGATGTGACTGCTATGAAAACCAGACCTGTAAAACCATCCGCATGCCACGTAAATTTCCCTGTGATGTAACCGAGTGTGGATCGAATGTCACGTTTGATTGTTCAATGAGGCATCTGAAGAACATCTCTGACATTTCAGACAGCATATTTACGAATACAACTGAGCTGAATTTGACAGAAAATGTAATTCCAAATATTCCTCAAAATGCATTCTCAAAGCTGTTAAATCTCATTGTGCTGGATCTCAGATGGGTCAACGGAAATGAAGAGGTGAACATTGATAATAAAGCATTCAAGAAGCTGAGTAAACTTCAAGTCCTGAAACTAAATGGCATTCACCTCCACAATATTCCATCACACTTGCCAGTCAGTTTGCAAATCCTTGAGCTCAGTGAAAATCACATTGTTCATCTGGACAAACAGCAACTCTCTGCCATGGAAAATATCACAAAACTATGGTTACCCAGAAACTGCTTCAGCGAAAATCCATGTGACACTTCTTTCACAATCAAAGACAACACTTTTGAATATACGGCTAAGTTGGAGCATTTAGATCTGGCCTTCAATAATTTAACCCGTGTTCCTAAAAATCTACCCAGCTCTCTTTTGAAATTAGACTTGGAGACAAACCGCATAGAGTATATCTCTAAGAACGATTTTCAAGGACTACATAATTTAACGCACCTAATGATCCAAGGAAACTGCCCAAGGTGCTCGAATGCTCCGTATTCTTGTGTTCCTTGCAAAAACACTTCTCTTTTAATTCATCCTCGTGCTTTTGGTGATCTTACAAATCTGACCACACTTAACATGGGAGGAAACTCTCTTAAGTATTTGAGCCCTTCTTGGTTTTTAAACATGCCAAATCTCAAAAAGCTTCTGCTACCATTTAATCTCCTATTCAAAGCAGTTACTGGGAAACAACTATGGTTAAGATGTCTTCCAAAACTAGAAGTACTAGATCTCTCATTTAATTATGAATTGAAGATTTATCCTCGAACACTGGATCTCTCTGAGGATTTTATCCATCTCAAGTCACTTGTTACTCTGCATTTGGAAGCTATGGTTTTTAAATACATTTCTCTTAAAAGCCTCAACCCTTTATATCAACTCAAAAACCTCTCCTCCTTAAACTTGGCAACAAACTTTATAATTCAAATTGAAGATGATGTTTTCAGCAAATTTCCACCACTGAAACTGATATTACTTTCTGAAAACAGGCTGTATCCAATTACTGTGGAGAATACATCACATCCAAAAACACAATATGATCAAAAGCACAACAGCATTTCCATTTCACCTCTCACTAGAAGAATTCCAGACTATAAGGTTCATAGGCATATCAAAGAGGAATGCTATAATGCCGGAAATGCTCTTATTTTAAGCAGAAACAATTTTTTCTTTATTTCTGATTATCAGTTCAAAGGTTATAAAGACATTGCATGTTTGAACCTCTCACATAATGGATTTTCTGTGGCACTTAATGGTACTGAATTCTCCAAATTGCCCAATCTGACCTACCTGGATTTGTCTTTCAATAAAATTGATCTGGCTTATAACTGGGCATTCAAAGACCTGCCAAAACTAGAAGTACTAGATATTAGCTACAATGCGCATTACTTTGAAGCAGTTGGAATAACACATAATTTGAACTTCACACTAAACCTGCCAGTTTTGCGAGTTTTAAATATGAGTTACAACAACCTTAATGCATTAACCACAAAAGAGATGTATAGTGAATCCTTATCAGAACTTCAGTTTCAACAAAATAATCTTGGGGAACTTTGGAGAGACAAAGCCTATTATAATATTTTCACTCATCTGTCTAATTTGAGCATATTGGACATATCATACAATGACATTGCACAGATTCCTCATAAAATTTTAAAAAAACTGCCTCAAAACCTTACCCACCTAATCATCAGCCACAATTCACTTTCACATTTTGAATGGAACATGCTTAAATCTTTTCACAGACTTCAAGTTCTAAACCTAAGTCACAATTGTTTGTCTATGTTGACATTCAGATCCGAAAATGCTACTTCACTGAAAGTGCTAGACTTGAGCCACAATCAAATTATGAAACTGAATGAGCAGATTTTATCAGCTAGGGGTAACCTTAGTACTCTTTTTCTGAACTACAACAGGTTAACTGTCATCAACCAATCATCGTTTGATTCTGATCGACAAAGTGAGATAACTTTGTACATTGATAATAACCCTTTTCAATGCACCTGTGATTCATTCGATTTTATTCTGTGGTTGGAAAATAGTACTGTAAAAATACCCCGACTGACAACTGATGTGAAGTGTGACACGCCAAGGATGCCAGAACAACCGCTTCTAATCAACTTTGACATTCAGCAATGTGGTAATGAGGCTTTTACTTACTATATTATCACAAGCTCTTTTATTTTTGTTTTCATGTTTGTGACCATGGCTGCCCATCTGTTCTACTGGGATGCATTCTACATTTTCTACCTTTTAAAAGCTAAACTCAAGGGATACAGCTCTCTGCACTCACCTCAAAGTGTGTATGATGCCTTTGTAGCTTATGACGCCACAGACCCATATGTGTCTGAGTGGGTGATGGAGAAACTTGTGGTGAAACTGGAGGAGGAGGGAGAGAATCCTCTGTGTCTGGAGGAGCGGGATTGGTTTCCAGGGACACCTCTTCTGGATAACCTAAGTCATAGCATCAGAAATAGTCGGAAAACGCTCTTTGTTTTAACAGCGGACTATGTGAAGACTGGGATGTTCAAGATGGCCATGTACCTTGCTCACCAAAGACTTCTGGATGAGAATATTGATGTTATTTTGGTTTTGATGCTAGAACCAGTGTTGCAACATTCCCCTTTCCTACGCCTGAGGAAAAGGCTGTGTGACAAAAGTGTAATGGTATGGCCCAAAACTACAGCGGCCCAGTCCTGGTTTTGGCAGAACCTGAAAAACATAATCAACGTGGACAATGAGTTCCTGTACAACAAAACATACATTCACTATTTCACCAGCAGATAGAGTGTTTGGAGAATTACAGAACATTTGTACACAGAAATAGGATGGCATATTTTTACACCGCTTAACTGTTTGTTTTGTTTTGTTTAGTTTTTTTGCTTTTTTTGAAATTCTTATAGCTTACTTTATGCATAACTTAAAAATTGTATTTGTTCCAATAAAGTAATGTATAAAATCAATGTGTGACTTTAATATTGTCCGCAATTTAAATCACAGAAGTCTACAAAAGAGCAGTTGAAGTCTTACTTATAAATTATCACTGTACTACTACTACTACTACTACTACTACTACTACTACTACTACTACTACTACTACTACTACTAATAATAATAATAATAATAATAATAATAATAATAATAATATATGTTATATATTAGGCACCTTTCTGATCACTTAAGATCGTCTTACAACAACATAAGCAAGTTAATTAAATACTATTAAAACCTACAGTTAAAAGCATACAGTTAAAGTGGGACAGTATTTGAATTGATTGATTGTATTTGTGTACTCTATATAACACTATTATTATGTGTACTAGTATTTTTACCACTCAGTTTTGTTTGTGTTGTAGATAAACCCGCTATTTTGTTTGGCCACATGGTGTCGCTGTTACATCATGGAATAGGTCTATGTTGGCTGCAGTCTGACACTCATCGACTGCACAGTATATAGTCTATATATCTCTACATTCAATGCTGGCACCCGCTTATTGTAGAAAGAAAGAAAGAAAATGGGTTTGTTAATTTGTGTTTTCACCAGTGTAATGTATGTTCGTGAATTTTGTAAAGCGTGTTAAAGAAAAATCAAACGCATTTAGGACGTTCTCTTCCTGCATCGGGGCGTGTATCCCAGGTCATTTGCATACAGCATACTATTTAATGGCTGGAGGCGACAGGAAACTTCACTCTGCAGCCTGGTCTTCGAGTGATTCTTTCGTGTCTGAGTGGTCCTCGTCTGGTAAGTTTATGCATGGAGATTTTTAAGTTTTATCACATTTTGCCCCGTGTTTTTTCTAAAAGGAATTCAGATGCATGAGCACGTAAAGCATGTTGTATTTTGTGGTTTAAACACTGCTGCAGGTAGGGCTAATTAGACTCATCATTTTAACGTGTGAGCTGTGCAACGCCTGCAGCCATTAAGTTCCTCAGTTTTGCACATTTACACCAGGCTACCAATTTCCCCAAACTAGACCGCTCAAAGTTTACGGACGCAGTTCTCCAAGTTTTCTCGTTCAAAATGTCCAAATTTTGCGTTTCTTTTTAGAACTCGTGAAAACATGGGCGACAAACCAGACCTCAGTGGGGTGGAGAAGTTCGACAAGTCGACCCTGAAGAAGACCGAAACAAAAGAGAAGAACACACTCCCAACCAGTGAAAGTAAGTTTTTGTTATTTTAATTGCATAACTATATCTAGTGTAATTTAATTGTCCTTTTTGAAGATGTAAATAATAAACTGCGTATCTCTTGCAGCAATCCAGCAGGAAAAGGAACAAGGCGGTTCTGACTAAACATTCCACCATGTTCCATCGAGCTGCAGTACGTCCATCACCTGCTGTACACCTCCTGCCCTCATCTGCTCTACAGAAATGGAAGTCTGGCTTGGACTTGTTTTGTGGTGCAGGATTATTGCCTCAAACACTTCGAGGACCTACGCTCAATGAGATGTAGCACACTGGGCACAAAGTTATTTTTGCAAGCGTTTGTGGGAATGCACATGTTGTATATGCAAATAAATATGTAGAAGTAAACCAGTTTTCTTTGTGTGGGTACATTCTATCTGGTGTGATGTTGCATACTTGAAGGGAGCTTTCTGTGGTGAGCCTAGGGTGTACCTAACAAATCCAAGAATTTGAATGCCACACTAGCAGTTTTAACAGCTAAATGCAAACACTTAAGGAGTGGAGGGAAATTAGTATTGCATAAGTGCACAGCATGCAGTGACTGGTGCAGTAGTCTCTTTCCTATGAGCAGAAGTGGGTTGGTTGGGGGAAGCTTCTAAAATGTTTCATTGCTTCATCTGTTAGTGTCAGATTAGGAGTCCTAATTTAAAATACAAGTGGCAGTGCATTTTCTCAAATTTAAGACTATAGAGTGTGCTACTCCATGCCCATGGAGAGTTGTTCAGTTGCTATATAAAACTTAAGACTAATGAACGATATGAGGGGTATGATGAAACAAATGAGTAACAAACCAATCCATGATGTATGAAATGGTCTCTAGCATCTTTTGTAATTCAAACAGCACACCCATCTTGCCAAGCTACTGTCTTTTAAAGAGGAACTAGAGCAAAACATGGTCTGATCTTGCATGTTATTATTCCGTAAGAGGAAGTGACTGCATCTGCAAGCTGCAACATGATACACAATGAATATCATCCTTCTTTTTGCGCTGTCAGAAACCCCACACATCTTGTTTACCTGTTTTAAGGTCAAACCGATTTTGCTAATAGGTCATGATCTTGTCAGATATAATTAATAAGTGACAGGTCCTTCTAAAGTGGCATGCAGACGTAATATGCTCATCTTTTCATTTCATTTCTAATCTTATGGGCCAGTAGTTACCAGAAAACAATGCCTGTCAATGGTGGTTTGAAAACTCTCAGTTCTCAAGTGAGGAATGCAGGAAGTGTTGCCTCTGGGAAAAGTTGTCAAAATCTCTTACGTGTCCTGTCAAGTTTTAAATGCCACAGTTTTACAGCATTACCATTAGTCCCATTTTGCGCAGGCTACATTTATTATAATGTTTATTGTTACACTTTGTTCGAGCATTAAATTTAGTTTAGAAAACAAAACATGCCTCTAAAAACATTACTCTATTTCATGTTTAATACATAAATTCTTTGTGTGAGGTCATGTGGCAGTACAGGAAGTGCTTAACTGTGTTTTAAACTCCATACATCTTCACTAGAGTCATTTGGATATTTTCAGCCCTGGAATTGCCACTTTCTGCTAGACAAAAGGCAAAAGATAGCTGTTACCAAGAAAACTACAGCTTCATGACATCACAAAGTGGAACAGAGCATTTTGAGTTTTGGAGATGCAGACAGCCTAATAATTCAAGATTACTCAAGCATGTGTGAATGAAACAAAACACAGTATGTATTTGATGAGCATTATAACATGACTTATGCCATCAGGAGTCAGTTTTGCATAATATAACTTTTAACTTAATAATATTGACATAAGCTCTTCCTTTATGAAGAGATATGGAGGTGCAAGTCTTTGAGCCTTTTACTCAGAATTCTCCAATAGCAGGATTTAGTCTTTGTCATTTCATCTTTGCCTTCTTTATTTCAACCGTGATGGGAAAAGTCAGAGCTATTGTGGTAATTGATAGGTGAACCCACTGGCGCAAACAACAAACTGGCCAATCCAGTCTGACACAGTGTTTTTCCATGTAAACAAATCATTGAATTATATTGAGTTAGGCTAGTTTTGTAACTGCATACACCAAAACGTTATTCAACAGTTCAAAACAACACAATTTGCCTATGTTTATCTAGTGAATGTTACAAAGTTAATATGTTACATGAAGTTGCCAGACAAGTTTCAGTCCGCTGGTGGGCGGTAGTTAAAATGATGTTGGACTGGCAGGAAGTGAAAGATATAATGAGAACAATGTAAAGGTCTTATATATTCTCTGTTCTCATAATAACGCAAATTGATTTAATCCCTGCATAGTAGGGTTTAAACAGGTATTATAGAGGAAGATTATGTCCATCCAAACAGATGGAATCTTCCAATGCTAGCCTAACCTGTCATAGCTTGTTTAGGCATGTTTTGACACAGAAACAATTACGTGCACAAATAGTCAATTAGCAATAACATGCAATAGCGGAGGACATAAACTGCCAATGGGATTTGCCTACAGGTTGCAACACTTTATTTTGAATTTTGTACAAATGTGTGCATATAAGCATGTATTTGATCAAACAAAATCATTGGAGCTTATCTGTTTCATCACTTCTCTATCTCACAGAATGTTGTCTTGTATTGTTCCCTAATCTGTAGCTAGTGTTGGTGCAATCTTAATAGGACCTATATTACACTATTTTCTGATGTAAAAACTTACCAAGAGTTGTGTTTTGTTTCATTCACACATGTTTAATACACAAACCTTGTATATTTAGGCAGTGTTCTTCTCTCAAACCTCCACCTTGTGATGTCATGTGGTAATACCTTCACTAGAATCATTTAGATGATTTCAGCTTTGGAATTGTCAATCTCTATTGGACTAAAGGTAAACGGTAGCTGTTAACATGAAAGCTACAACTACATGTCATCACAAGGGGGAACAAAACATTTTGAGCTTTGGAGATATAGACAGGTATATAATAAAGGATTACTCAAATATGTGTGAATGAAACAAAGCACAACAAGCTCACAAGAGTCAATTTTGACTACAGGACCTTTAAGTGGTAGCCATGACATTTTGACCAATGTATCCCTGATACTATGATTGAAAATACAAGAAAGGCGCATGGAGGTGTAACAGGATGTGGTGAGAGAGCAGAGTTACAGCTTGAAGTGACAAGTGAGTCTTGACTATGAAAAAATATATATTCACATGGGGGTAGTTTAGAAGCTCATATTTCCATGTAGCTAAGCAAAAAGCTGAAATAGCTTTTATAAATTGTTAGTTAGCTGGATACACAAGAAGCATATTCTTGGATCAGGCTTCATTATAAAAACTTTGGAATGTGCTTAGCCATCATTGTTCCTAGTACTAACCCCTACAGTTTATTGGCCTGACATAGGGATATATGCACAGATCACACACTTACAGCTGTGTTTACATTTGTAGTAGCATTAATAAATCTCCCAAAATCCAGTTTAAGATAACCTGGTAGTCTGTTTGCAGCAAGGATAAATAATGGCTTACTCTGAAACAGCGGAAAGCCTAGAGCCCTCACATTTGGGTTAACAGGGGTTTAATATTTGACTAATTAATGGTTACACTGAGAGGTGTGTTTTTGCAGGCACCATTTACAGTCAGTAGCCTAGTTTAGTGGAGGCTAAATACAAGTACGACTTCTGCTATTTGGTATTTTCTGATATTCCGTTGTTTGCAGACTATTTCCACTTCATGTGCCATTAGAGGAAGTTTTTAGCACAGAACATTATCTAAAACAAAACACTACTCATGTGAAAAGCTAATGCAATTAGGTTATGCAATAAAAGTTGAAGAAAGTTGACATTTCTACCATGTCAGACTACATCACACAGAAACCATCTAGGTCAAGAATATACACTACAACAAGCTTTCAATAAATCATGTGGCTAAACGCATCAAGCCCTGAGAGAGGCCTGGTGCTTCTCCATCAAACCACCATTAAGTAGTACATTATTAATGGGTTGTGTCCAGCTGAAGCCACCACGGTCACTCTGAAGCAGACATCCTCAGTCCCTTAAGGTACATGTCTCTGATTTGTCTCTTAACAGGAGCCTTTAGTTGTGTAATCAGTGGACAGCAGATGTTCCAGCACCAACACCTGGACCAAAATGCAGTTTCAGGGGGTCACTGTTGGGTCAGGAGGAGGTCAAAGACATATAAATACTACTCAAAAATTAAAATGTATAAGGTGCATTGTGTAACTTTTCTGATAGACCGTCTTTTACTTTTCTCCATGGGGATGTTGTGGCTTTGTCTGGAATGAATCTATCTTCAAGTAGACCAAACCAGAGTTAACAGATCAGACCTGTGGAGAGGCAGCCCCGCTCACAGTCAGAATACCTGCCTCTCTACATATTTTTGAGATATAAAGTCACCTTTAATTGAATAATGTCATATTGTGGAACATTCCAGGCAGAGCAATGCCATACCCATAGAAATAAACAGGTGACAGACCCCTAATCAAAAAGTTATATAGTGCACCCTTAAATATAAATGTAAGAATTTGCTGAATTTTTGTGGAAAGACTATCAAGTCAAACTAAACTATAGATATACTACCTGAAATACCAGCATGTGTTAACCGGTGCTAGCTTCTTCATAGACATATACTGAAATCACATGATCTTAAAAGTTACTTTGCTGTCTTCTTGCACAGTGTCAACAAACTAAACTAAAACAGCTCCTTGGTGTATATTTCACCTTGTGTCGCCTATACACTTCACAAGTGTGCCGTTCAAAGCAGGATGTGGTTCTGTACATCACTTTCAAAATAACTCTTCAACAGCCTTATCTTTCCTTTTATAGTCAAAATCTTACTCAATACATTTCTAAGATTGTGAACCAAGTCAGCAATTAATACAAAGTAATCACTATTGCAGCTAATGCTTTGAGACTAGTGCTAGATTAGTACTAATAAGTAATTGCTAAGTCAAGCACGACAATAAAAACTGTAGACAAGGCAACTTATGTTATTCGCAAAATGAACTCTAACTCTATTATCCAGTCAGTTCGCGGGTTTTAGATTCCTGTTATGTTTGAGGATTTTTTTTCAAAATCTAAATAAATTATATTTAGTTAGACAACTAATTTATCATCATTCTAAGCCCAGACATAGGAACAGTGTAGTCTTCTCTGCATTACTCTTCTGTAAGTGTCTGTCAAAAATATATACTGTAAATGGTGAGACAAGGACCTCTAGTGTGAGAAAAGGAACAGCACAGGAACAGGGTTATTTTTACTCAAGTACATTTAAACACATTTATAAATGCAGATTTTAGCTTAGTTTATGAATAATAATTTGTTTGGTAAGTTTTAAAGGAATAATATTACTTTATTAGCACTCTCCAAGGGTGGCAATCACAACAAGCAATGGGTGTAGATGAGATATCCCACTAAATACTGTAAATACTACAATGAGCAATCAGTTTCCTCCATGAGCACTGTCCCCTTGTCCCCCTCCTTCCACCTAGGTCCCCATATAACCCTTCAATCTCCACACCTGTCATAACTGTCATAACTGTCAACCGGACTCTGCCTTGCTGCAACAAAGAAACTCATCTGCACCGTGTACTGCATATCTACCTCTGCCTTCATGTCATGTTGTTGTGTTACTGCTATAAGTACTTCAATAGTATATATGTTTACAGTCTAGTATTGCACTGCTACTGTTTGCACTAGCCACGCTACTGTTGGAATGTTCTTAATAGAGCCCGACCGATATATCGGCTTGCCGATATTATCGGCCAATATGGACACCTGGAGACATATCGGCTATCGGCCGATATGCTTGCTGAAATGGGCCGATATTTCACGTGGGCATGTTATACCTCGTTATAAAGCTTAGACTCTCTACATTATGTTCATTTAATCCAATTTACAGACAGATAAATGTCCTAATATGTGGCTCCGCATCAGTATTTATCTGCTGTGTAATTTGTCTGTGTCCGTACTGTCCCTGAACACACCACCAGAGTGACGTAACTTCACTCGCGTGTGTTTGTTTACACCCGCAGACATGCGCAACATTGAGATTATATTCTTTTTCGGACAATCGGTTTGAGTCTGGATTAAAAGGACATTTATTAGTGCAGACTTGTGATGTGAGGAGGAGCCTGTGTGAGCGGTGAGTGTTGGAAATACATCGACTTTGAAGCTAGTTTAGGTTTTGTTAGCGATTAGCTGCTGTAGCTCCCGCACATAAACAGGCTGTTTTCTATTGGTCTATTGTAAAGTGACTACATTGGCCGTATATTTGTTACTGGACCTGCATTGATATGTAAATGAGCTGTGAATAGACGTGTGAATGATCCACATTTATGCATATAATTAACTACCGCGGTGCGCAGCATTTATGGCTAAAGGCTAATAGCGATAGTTTACTAGCTAGGAGTTATGGGTCGGTCGCGATTCTCTTCATGCCGCATGTAGACCCATAGTTTGACAGCGTCTGAAAATGAAACTTTCAGAAATCTGCGTGTGCATAGGATACAAAAAAAGTGCATATTTGGCTGCAGTTCAGCATAAAATGAATAAACCAGGACTAATCTTGGGCTCGAGTGCCGACACTCAGTCCTGGTTCAGTTCTGGTTTAGTCCTGCTTGCAACAAAACAATCTCAAGAGTCGCTTGGGAGCCGAAAGAGCCAGCTGCTTTAGTGAGCCGAGCCAAAAGAGCCGGTTCTCCAAAAAAAAAACTGAAATACCCATCACTAGTAGCTAGAATGTGATGCAAAAATGCCATTAGGCCAATCTACTGTATGTAAATATGATGTAAAGAGTCAAAATAACAATAAATGTTGCCTAAATAAACCTAATTTAGAATCCACTAGAGCCAAACCTAAGTTTTTTAATCAATTCAAGATTTACAGTGAATTTTTACATCACTAAATATATCGGTGATTATATCGGCTATCGGCAGCGCAAACTCCCATTATATCGGTTTCATATCGGCCACAACAAAATCCATATCGGTCGGGCTCTAGTTCTAAAATGTAATTGTGTTGTTACTTGTGACCAGTGTTGGGGAGTAACGGATTACATGTACCGCCGTTACGTAATCAGAGTACAAATTATGAGTAACTGTATTCCGTTACAGTTACTGTTTCAATGAGTGGTAATTGGATTTCAGTTACTTTGCTGAAATAAGTGGATTACAAGGCGGTATTTTCCTGTTTTCACATTTTGTGCTACATCCCATTTATTTATTTTTTTATTTCGGTAATTTCACTCATTGCCTGAAGCCCAAACAGAACGCGCGCAATAAGAGCGATGGAAACGTCATGTTAAAGTTGGCGGTGTCAGTCACACAGTGGAAGCAGCAGTGCATTGGTAAAAACGCATTTGTGTCTTGGAAATTCTTCTCCCGATGTGAGATATATATATATATATATATATATATATATATATATATATATATATATATATATATATATATATATATATATATATATATATAAAACAAATATAAAATCGCCTACAACTTAAATGTGAAACCGGAGCTACTGGCACTGGTGAAAACAACCTGCATAGACTCATAATATCTGCACTACTGTCCTATAGTGACCTGCCACATGAGTGGACGTGCACACAAACACACACAAACACCTTCATCATCGACATCAACCTGAGAACCCGCGGACCACGTTTCCTTCCGTAGTTACAGCGCGGACACCGCCATCTCGTGCGCCGCGTGTGGACCGTGTTTTCTCGCGTAAACCGCACTTCCTCCTGTGCGCCTCTAAACCAGAACTAACACCAGGACTAAACCAGGACTAACCCAGGACTAAACCAGGACTAAACCAGGACTGAACCAGGTTTAAACTAGGACTAAACCACGACTAAACCAGAACTAAAGACCTGGTCTAGACCAGGTCTAAAAATCAGGACTAAACCAGGACTAAACCAGGTCTAAACAACATGACACCTAACAGTAGGTTGACATAATTTAAGGTGATCTCATATAATTTCTCTATCAATAATATTTTTTAATCTGGTGAAGGAAAAGCTTATCTTGTTACTGTCTTTTAACAGACAAAACCTCTTATATTAAGATATCGTGGTCTTTGTTTCTCTACAGCAAACAGTTGCTTATTCATGGAGACTTGGGCTCAGACAATTTGAAGACAACAAACAAGAATTTTGAGGATGTGGTTGCTACATTCATGTCGTTTAAAAAAACATGACAATATCAAGTAATCCAAAGTAATCAGATTACGTTACTCACTTTAAGTAATTTAATGGATTACGTTACAAATTACATTTTGGGGTGTGTAATCTGTAATCTGTAGGGGATTACATTTTAAAAGTAACCTTCCCAACACTGCTTGTGACAATGACAAAAAATCCTTGAATTTTGAGTTTTACTGCAGCAGACACGTCTTGAACAGATGAGGGCGCTGTTGTAAGGATGAGCACTTCATTACAGTTGAGTGACATGCCTTGCACATGCACCATGACATGCATTCACTACACAGTGTTGGTCAGTTGACATGATCCGGATGCTTGAGATGTCACATGTACAGATTCAGGTTGCAAACTATAATTGGGAAGTAAGCCCACATGTTTGACCTGGATGAACATTGACTAAATGGTGACAGAGAGAATAAAAAAAAAAAAACAGAGACTACATTTTTCCATAACTCTTCAATATGCAAATAATAGAAAATGTCTTTATGTTAAAGCCAAGAAACCATTATCTTTACATTAGCCTAGGAAATAGTGCTTTGTGTGGTGGAAAAGAACAAAGCATATTTTCCTTAAGCTTTCTAAATTTAAAGTAAAACAAAAGAGCATCTTTAAACAAGTTAGTAATTTGATTTGAGGAATGTTTTACATTCTAGTTTGTATTTTTTTTTTCCATTGTCCTATTTTTGCTGCTTTATATTATTTTGCTATTAACTGCAAGGCAACATTAAGATGCAGAGATGATTTATTTTTGAAGAAACTGCACTTCAGAGTAGTTTTACTTTTACTCGATTAATATTCTGTGTGTAACAATAATTTGAGTAAAAGTTTTGTTTTTTCACTCACTTAGAGTAAGTTATCAAGTGTCAAAATCTTTGTGTTGATTTGAATTATTTGATCATCTGCGTTTCTCGCATCTTACCTTCGGTTATGATTTGGTTTTGTAATTTTTGGGTTTACTCTTTGAAAATACCAGAAACTATGCATAAATGTGTATAAATTAGACTTTAATTTACTCTAAACTGTTTCTCAGTACTCAATTTGTAGTTTCTCCAAATACTTCTTTACTGTTAACTGACTTATCTGGGTACTACTTTTTTACTTCTACTTGAGTAATTTAAAGATATTTTAAAGTAATAGTTAAAGTTACTCTTACTTGTGTAGAAATGTTGGTTACTGTACCGAACTCGACAAACGACAAACTAAAGAAACAAACTGAAGATAAACAACAAACAAACCAGGAACCCCACCTGTCATCTTTAAGAGCTAAGCAGAGCAGAAACAGATGTGAGAACTGACCCTCGAAGTGTCAAAAAACCATTAAACATTTTTATGGTCAGTGTTGGAGCTAGCATCTGAGGGGCTTTTAACATGCAACCAGTGACTGAGAAACACATCAAAGAGAGTGCAGCAGCTAATAACAGGCCTATGCTTCTCACAGTGGTAATGATACAGGTATGAAGGAAATCTGCTCAGTTGAATTGGTGAGGAGCTAAAACTCTATGTACAATTGAAAAGGATTAGAAAAGGTTCCTAATCTTCAAAGTGGAAGAAAGTTTAATATGGACTTGTGTTGTGTGTAGAGGAGAGCCCTGAAAGCTAATCCCCACCCCCCACCACCACACCTCCCCATACCCCCCTTTTGGTAAACCCACTCCTACTTCCACAAAGTCACAACCTATCCCTCACAGCGCTGTGTCACTCCAGTCTGGAATTTCAGACAGGAAGAAAAGCAAGGGAATTATGGCACAAAGAAAATAGTTAACTGCAATTGGAGAGTATATTTTTTTTCCCAGAGGAGCAATTACTTTTGAAATCGCATTTTGGACATATTACACATCAAACAGCCTTTTTCCTGGCCAAGCACTTTGACCCTAAGTGGACTAGTCGAAACAATAACAAAGATCCCTGTGGGAACAAAGCTCTTGCAGGTTACAGAGATGCAGCCTTTAAACTTGATAGGCACGCTAATTCTTTTGCTGTACATCTACACAGACTGTGCAGATGCCAGTAGGTAAGTCAATTTTGTATTCATATTTGCAAGAGCTAGACAGTCGCATGCACAGATATGTATTCTATGGAGTCGAATGATAACGAAAAAATAATTTACACAAATAAATTAGGCTTTGGTTTCAATATTTTTGTTACTAATGCCTTTACTAAAAATGTCTATGGGAACGAAGATGCTGCTAAATGTGGCCCAGCAACTGTTGATAACTCAAAAGCACCTGTCACACTCATTTGAAGGGCTATTCTGGTGGATTTCTAGGCTCAGATTCCCTTTAGACCCACTGGAGCCAAGCTGCTTTTAAGATACTCCAGACAACATATAGATCATTCAGTGTTATGGGCTTGATGATGTGGAGATGACAGAAAGCATAAACCGTGATATATAGTGCAATGTCTTTTAGCATTATGTCTGAAATGTGCCCAGCATCAACTAACTAACCAGTGATGGGTCTGGGCTGTTCAGTGCCATGTTTTGTAATGCCACCAAAAAAAGTTACAGATTGAAAAATACCGCAAGAGACAGAAATTCTTGTTGCCGGTGAAAATAACTTTACTATGTTCTCATTTTACCATAAGTTAAATAGATATATGAGACTGCAATGCCACTATATTATTAGCATGCTTCTCTTCACCTAAAGCCTATATCCTGTCAGCTGGCTTCTGTTCTACAGGAGTTCATGCTTTTACAAGATGAGTGACTTTATAGAGCTGTTTTCACTTCACCAAAACTATAATTACGGGCATAACCTTGTTGGCTTTAACCTTGCGTTTTACCCTCTGCACAAATCGCTTTTAGGACAGATTTATGATTTTATGTCTGGGAGAGAGTTGTTTGAATTATACATCATACCTGATATCATGCTGTACTTGTCCTCTGCAAAGGCACTATAGGCAAGTCCTCACTGGAAGCCAACCAGGTGTGTGCCGCTATGGAAGGAGACTGGAGTGCTGCTATGGCTGGAAGAAAAACAGTAAAGGACAGTGTGAAGGTAATATTATACATTTATATATGTTCACACTGCAAAAAAATAACATCTAGGTATGTGTAAACTACTCAAATTAAAAACATTTAACTTGATCACAGGTAATTATCTACCAGTTACTATTTCTTATTTTAAGTGCAAAGAATTGTTATTTTACTTATCTTTTGTGTAGCAATATGTATTTTTTTATTTTAAGTACAAAAAGTCTTGTTCCATTGATAGATCATTTTACTTGGCACGTGAAATCAAGATAGCATTTTTTCTTTCTGAAGTAATTTTAACTTGGTAAGATTTTAGCTTTTGCAGTGCTCATCCAGGTAACTGGTCATTGTTACATTTATTTTGCGTGTTTTTTGTACAGTGTGTTGCAATTTTCTAGCTGGAACCGAATCACCATTCTTTGTCTAATAGGAAGTGGTGGTCTGAAATTTTCCAACCAAAACTATTTCTGCTGGTCATTTCTTCATGCTCAATGTTTTTACAGCTCAGTGTGAGCACGGATGCAAACATGGAGAGTGTGTAGGACCAAATAAATGCAAGTGTTTTCCTGGATACACTGGGAAAACATGCAATCAAGGTAAACAACAAATGAATACTGTAAGATCTTCATATGTCATATTATGTTTACATTTCTATACTTTTCATAGATTTAAATGAGTGTGGGTTGAAACCACGTCCGTGTGAGCATCGTTGCATGAACACTCATGGGAGTTACAAGTGTTACTGTCTGAACGGGTACACTTTGATGCCTGATGGATCTTGTGCAAGTAAGTAACAGTTAAAACACAAAGAAAAAGAGCACTTGAAACCATTAGTAAACCTGTAATTATGCGGCTTTGTTTAAATGAAGATTCCAGGACGTGCTCTCTGGCTCACTGTCAGTATGGCTGTGAGGAGGTTCAGGGGGAGATCCACTGTATCTGCCCCTCCACTGGCCTGCAACTGGGACAAGACGAGAGGACATGTGTAGGTGAGTTTAAACACAAATAAGTGCAATTATCATAATTCATAGTTCATAATGTTTACTGGGCTATTTCTCATTACTTGTCAGACGTGGATGAATGTGTTACTGGCAAGAACCTATGTCCCTATAATAGACAGTGTGTAAACACATTCGGCAGCTACTTCTGCAAGTGCCAGGAAGGCTACGACCTCAAATACATTGATGGCAAATATGACTGTGTAGGTAAGGTACATAAAATACACTTTTTATGAATATTAGTCTCTCCCTCTGCTTATTACGTGTACTTCTTGTGATTTCAGATTTGGATGAGTGTGTGAGTGGCTCACATAAATGCAGTCACCATGCAGTTTGTCTCAATACTCAAGGATCCTACAAATGCAGATGCAAGGCTGGATTCAGAGGCAATGGCTTTGAATGCTCAGGTTAGAATACTATGTTTATTACTGAATCTGTACTTTAAATGAATTATGAGGTAATAACATTTTTTAAATGTATAATTACTGCAGCTATAAAATTGTTTCAAAAATAGGTTTACCATTCAGTGTGAGTGGTCAGATCAGCAACATTAAACTCCTGCTAATAAGTAGCAGTTTCCTGCCTTTTGAACTTGCTCTTCACTACAGATGTGAGCTCAAGAGGGCTACAGATTAAAAACACACTTGTAAAAATAGGACACTGAATAGAAGCCAGCTCTTTGAAGATAGAGGGAAACCTGGCTTGCACTTTATATAGAGCTGTGGATTGGGTGTGCCTGATAATAACTCCACTCTTAGTATCATGATGACTCAATTAAACATACCTTTATTTTATAGTCAAACCATTTTATCTACGACCTGGAAGAAACCCAGATGATTTTCTCAATGGTGAGATGTTAAAGCCACTGCTTTGCCTGTTAGCACCATTGCAACCAGCTTTGCTACAGACTGTAATATTGTGTGCAGCTGAATAAATGTAAAACTCAGCATGGCCCTGCAAAACTATAACTAATAATGTGCTGTGAACATTTACTCAAGCGTTGTTCCTGCAGTGTTGAAAAAATAAAATAACAGCTGTTAGACATGAAAACAAGGTAACATTTGGACCCTGGGCTTCCTGCTTGTAATGTCTAATGCAGTTGCCTTCCTTCCTGCAGTCATCCCTGAATCCCCAGTCAAGCCTGGCAAACATCAGAACGAGGACATCAAAAACATTATCCCAGAGCCAGCGGTGACAGAACCCTCAAAGGTCAGGCAGCAGCCCTTTGACTATGATGGAGAGGTTTACATCGGGAATCCTGATGAGGAGAGACCAACAGAGATCACAGAGGAAGATGAGGAGGAAGAGAACAACCAGCTCAACCCCAGAGGAGATGTGTTCGGTGAGTGTCATTACATTCATTAGACCCCCCACATCTCCAGCTGGATGTCATTTGGTTGATACGTATCTATGAATGAAATCCCCATATAAATCAACCACCTGAATTTGAACTGAATGGGGGGGGGAAGGGGGGGAAGCCTGGAGACATCCGTCACCTCAAGGGAGGAATTTTCCTCTTCTGACATTTGAAGGCTTACGGATACAACTTATCCTGGGACAGCTTCATCTCTCTAGAGCAGCTCAGTCTACAAGCCTTTTATTACATTTCCCAAAACAGCTGTTGTGCAAACAGACTTGACTCCAAGTAGGGAGGTCTGTCATCAGCCCTCCAGCTTCCTTAACACTAGCCCTGTGCGGCTGTGAAGGTTCAATAACCCCAGCTGTCACTGTCTGACTCTTACAAGGGGGGGAGGTTGTTCCAACAGCATTTAAATGCTTCAGGGGCTTCATCCTCAACTTTAAGTTCCCTCTGAAGACATGAGTGACAGCAGGGCAGGTCTACACCTGCTGGCTAAAAGCCCCTTTCTGCTTATTCTTTTCTATTGACTTGTGAAGAGTGCTTTCTATATAAACCATATATGAATGGAGACAAAATTTATAACTTATAATAATAGTTTTAACTTCCAGGAAGTAATTATCTAAATGTAAATATTAATTTTAAGAAAATTCACATAATTTATTTCTGTAATCTTTCTGTAATGTATGAACAGTTTCAGAGGACTTTGAATCAGTGTTTGGCCCCACCACAGAAGTCAAAGAAATTGAGATAGTTCCAGTTCAGGAAGGTAAGAGAGACATTATTAAATTTGCTTTTATGAAAATGTTAATGTTAATTATGTTAATAATGAGTTTTTCCTCCATAGAGTTTATCATGGATTGCAACTTTGATCAGGGAGGATGTGAGTGGGTTCAAGACAAGAGTGACGACATGGACTGGAGTGTTGCATATCATGACAGTGGTAACACAATGATATCACAGAATGACCAAAAAGTGGCCAAGTAATTCCAACATTAACATATGATCTTTGAAGGGGCTGAGTACTACATGGCCATGAGTGGTTTCCTGGGAGAGCAACAGGACATAGCTAAGCTCAAGTTGCTCCTGAGTGACCGCGCCCAGCAGGGCAGCTTCTGTCTCACCTTTGACTTCCGGGTTGTGGGCCACAATGTTGGCACCCTCAGAGTCCTCCTGGATAACAATGTTTATCCAATCTGGGAGCAGAGTCAAAGCCAAAACCACGCCTGGCAGACGGAGTTCCTCACTGTAGCCTGGAGAGAGAAGGCACCAGAAATGGTAAATCATACATATAGGCTAGCTGCTTCATGTATTTTCTCTGCTAAAATATATTGTAGGCATCACCAAAGAAGGCCATTTATATGTTTAAAGATTTGCACTATTATGTTATATTAGTGAATGTATTAAAAGGTAAATATTAATGCAGCAATTTCTCATACCAGATCATCTTTGAAGCTCAGCGAGGAGGTGGTGTTGGTGGAGAGATCGGACTGGATAACGTTGTGTTGACTTCAGGCCCATGTCAAGATGATACTAGCCCAGACTTTTAGGAAGCTGTTATTGATTATTATGAAATGTGATGTAATTATTTTGTTTATTTTTTCCTTTTGAACCATGGTCATGTGATCTCGTTCAAACACTATTTAGGTCCACTAAAATCTAATATTAGGTCTACTCTGTCAATAAAGCTCAGTTCAGTTTTATTATGGAGCTTCTAAAAAAGCTCAGGGACAGTGACAGATAAAGTCACAGTATTCAGTTTTCTTTAGGCCTGTGTAGCTATTAAGTGAAGTAATCTAAAAAGTTTTGAATTTGAATTAGGCCCAATGTAAATTCTCTTTAAGCATGTAATTGTAATTTCCTGAAGGCTGCTAGTATATTAGTAGTATTAGTAATGGTGCATAACTGCTGTAAATGTTGCTTATTATGTACAAAAATACAATAAATATGTTTTTTTTCTATAATGTTTTCAGTAGTTTATGATTAGCAAGGTTTATAGAGCTACGTGAACAACTGATTGCTCACTGGCAAATCAACACAATAACAAATAACTACAGAGAGTTTCTATGCTACTTGGGGTTAGTGTACTCACATTATGTAGCCCTGTTTGTTCCCATACATAGCAGAAAAAGTTATTTGTTGAGTTAATGACCAACCAGTTCACCATTTCGATCTATGCTGCAGTTTACCGGCCCCAGCATGTCAGTAAGGATTATTCTAAACAACAGAGTAGGCCACCTTGTGGTGGTTTCTAGTATTGCAACAAGCGACTTTTGAAATATAGTTAATAATCGGATGCCGTGTTAAGTAATGGTTTTATATTATATGAACGTAGAAAAAACATAAACATGGATTTTTAAAAATGTAATTAGTCGCGTTTTATTAAGTGGTTGTTACGCCCTTTACGTATGCGCGTACAGCATGATCACATGATCTCTGTAGCCGTCGTTAGCTTGATGTGCTAACTGCTTTGTGCATCGCGTCAGGAATATTACAGGAAACACAGCCCAGTTGTACGCTGTCCTGTCCCGTGTTACACCTAGTGTTAACTATTGACATATGCTGTAATTGGTGCGCTGTTGGTCGACATAAAGAAAACTTTAATTTAAGACTGCACGGTAAGATATCATGCACGAGTTGCATCATGTCAGTTCATTAATGTTTCAGCACGGTTCATGTTTGTTCTTACAGCCTAATGGAGCTAACACAAAACTGAAACATTTAAATGAGTTACAATCGGTTGTCTTGTGCATCCTGGTATACAGGTGTTCTGAATATATAGCCTGTTCATCCCAGTGTTTGCGGTTATTTGATGTACATGTTGTCAAACGACTTCCTTGTTCGTAATGATTCACTAATGTTTGGTTCTGTTATTGTGTTACAGCTGATTAAACGTTAAGCCACAGAGCTGCTCCTTTCAGCATGATAAAAATGACCATGTGACTGAGAAAAGAGTCTTGAATACATGATCTGGAAGCAAAGAAGACCCAGTATACCTTGGGTAAGGTTTACGCATATAATCAAGACTTAAACGCTGTAACATACCTGAATTATAACATGCTGATGTATGTGTGTTTTTTTGGTACACCCAATAGATCATTATTATTGGATTGCTGCACAAAGCTTAACATCATGGCGTCCAAAACATCCCTGCTGAAAGTTATTCTCCTTGGTGATGGGGGAGTTGGGAAGAGCTCCATTATGAATCGGTATGTCACCAATAAATTTGATGCCCATCTTTTTCACACTATTGGAGTTGAATTCCTCAACAAGGACTTGGAGGTTGATGGCCACCAGGTAACTCTGCAGATCTGGGATACTGCGGGACAAGAGCGGTTTCGAAGTCTGAGAACTCCATTCTATCGTGGCTCTGATTGCTGTCTGCTCACGTTTAGTGTTGATGACAACCAGAGCTTTCTTAATTTGGGCAATTGGAAGAAGGAATTCATTTATTACGCTGATGTCAAGGAGCCAGAGAAGTTTCCTTTTGTGGTATTGGGCAACAAAGTAGATGTGACGGAAAGGCAAGTGTCCACTGAAGAGGCTCAGCAGTGGTGCCAAGAGAATGGTGACTACCCTTATTATGAGACTAGTGCCAAGGATGCCACCAATGTTGCTGTGGCATTTGAGGAGGCGGTACGCAGGGTACTGGCAATGGATGAAAGAACGGACCACCTTATTCCTACAGACACTGTCAAGCTTCACAGAAAGCCCCGGTCTGCTGCCACTTGCTGTTCATAACATGCGCAGGATTAACATTAATAATTTTAAGGCTTTGTGATTAGGGATTCCAGGGGTACAGTGCTGTAAAAAAAAAAAAAAGAAATTATGCTAATCCTACTGGCTTTGTGATTATAATTATGAAAATAGTCAAAAAACCTGAGACATGGATTTTGCCTAAATGGCATTAAACAAAACACTAAATACATACTACATTTGAATTGAAAGATTGTGGAGTGGGTATTTCACAAGCAAAAAAGCTGAATATATTACTAAAATTGTAATGTTCCCTTGCTAATCATTGCATATTTTATTCTTTTATACAGACATTTTTGTGTTGCTTCTTGTGTATAAAATTGATTTGCGATGCCTTTTGTAAATGCATTCCCTAACATGATAAAACCATGTATTTATCAAAACATGTATTCTATTTAATACAATTCAGTAACAATACCTAACAAATAACTAAGGTAGATATTTGAAACTAACAAATCAAGGTTTGTGATGATTGCACTTTATAAGGTTGTCTTTACATACTATCTGTTTAGGTTGTAGGTTGTCTGTTGATGGCACTGGGAGACATGTATAATACTTGCATGGTGAATTGAAAACAACCAAAATTATTATTTTACTTAATCAGAGAAATATACAGGAAATATTGTTGGATTTGTAGGTTGAATACAAATCTGACAACAACCCACAAACTTCCTTGGAATACATGATCATCTTAAAAGGAGATATTAAAAAATTCAAATAATGTTTATTACTGGAATGTCACTAGAACAATAAATCTCACAAAAAACTTGTGGTTTTTTTTTCTCTTGTGTCTTATGATTAAAAGGATGGCAATTTGATAATACAGATATACATGACGTTACATAGACAGTAGTAAATGAAATTTGAAAAATGTCTGTGGAAATGTGGGCAGTAGACAAGATTAGTTTAAACTGAGGGCATATTATACAAGCGAAGGGCATATATACCCAAAGCATCTGTGGGTTAAAGGAGTGGGATCAGCTCAAAAGATGTTTCTTCCCGAGAAACTGCACTTTTCTCTCGAAAGCCGTCGAGCGAATTGGAGCATTGATTTCATAAAAGGGATTCATAGCAAACTGGAAGAAAAACATAATTTTAATAAAATATAAAGATTCTGCATATTAAATAGCGAAGCTACTTACCTTAATATACAAGTCATACACATCATTAAAAAAGTTTTTGATTCCATCTTCTTGTCTTACATCATGGAGCATAATGAATCTTATATGTATAGTTAGTTAAAGAAAAGAGTAATGGTAACAAATTCATAATATGGAGATATCTTATTTAAGTTTCAGAAGGATATGTCCTGCGGTGACAAAGGCAGAGACGAACCACTCGTTGAATTTGTCCACAGTTTTTAAATACATGTTATTGGACAACCACATATTTTCATCCACTAAATCCAGAGCAGCGTGTGCAATAAACTGGTTCAGGTGTCGATGATCATCCTGTGAACAGTCACATCCACAAATGTTATACAAATCTTCAGATCATTGTGATCAACCTTCCATTTAGGAAATTAACCTGCTAAAAAATGTTAACTACACCTTTTAAATACTATTTAGCTTAGCTACTGTAAGGACAGGTTATGAGAAAGACTGGTTTGTGGGGTTTTTTCACAAAAATTGTACGATTCATGAGGAAAAGGGGAAGACAAAAGTGGAGTTCCAGAGAATAAAGGGATGGCTGACGAAAATACATTACTATCAACATTTCACTTGACAATGGTCACTGGAAATGTGTAGCGGCAATTATATATGGTAATAAAACGTGTTTATTTACGTGTAGTTGTAAATAAACACGTTTGTTTAGATACACAAGGGCAAAACAACGAGTTGGCAAGACCGAAGACAAAATTGCAGCATTGTGAAGTTTATACCTTTGACTCAGGCTTCCCAGCTGGCAGGAATTCCATCTCAAACACGGGGTTGTCATGATGCCCAACCATGACAAAATAAAAACTACCAGACATCTTTTATCCTGTAATCCTGAGCTTTAGCTGGAAGGAAATAATCATGATAATATTAGAAGGAAAGGAGAAGACTTTTGCTTATAGCGGCTAAGCTAGCAGCCGCTTTATCATAACTATCCGTGGTAATTCAAGCCGCGTCATGCGCTACTAGGAACATATTACACATCCACGCACTTCGTGCTTTTATAACTTCCTAAAATCAAAATTCTTATACAAAACGCAATCATGTTACAGTTCTTTTTTCACCATTTGTTTACCTGTCAAATGGTTCCTTGAGAAACGCTAAGTTGTCGCAAGATAATGACGTCAAAATAATAGCTCCATAAGAGCTAATAATAAATAAAAATGCAAGGTGGTAAAATATATACGCTGGTACAAAAATAACAGCACACACTAATGTAATCATATCTATGCATTTATGCACCGTGTCGTGCATCCAGCTTAAAAAGCCGCTGAAAAATCCAAAACAATGTGACATCATAACTAAGTGCCTGAAGCCAATTTTACGTTGACGGTTTAAATGAAGACACGCCTCTTCAGTGATCGTCACGGGGATTTGTTTGTAGCTGCTATAGTTTAGCTTGGCCGATGTGAAGTGGTCCTCCGCTTTGGAATATGTTTTAAATGATGTATTTTTGACCTGATATGATTGCATTAAATTGGACAAGGGATCGAATGAGGATGGACGCGGTGGCATGATTCGAATCTAACAAAATATCTGTTTTTTTAATCAACTTCTTAAGCAGGCAACAGTTATGTCTGCATCCAGGGAAGAAGCGCTGTCTCCCGACGAACTAAGAAAGAGACTTTATCAAACATTTAAAAGCAAAGGACTGCTTGATACATTAAAAGTAAGTCACATATTTTTCGCATCTCTATTTTCTGTGCTTTGTTAACTATTCGTCTCCTTTAGACGCAACTGAGGAATCAGCTGATCCAGGAATTAAAGCACCCACCTTTGACAGAGGGCAAGTCATCTGTTAAGAGTGATTCTGGTTTGGCCACAGTTTGTAACAGCATAGTGGCTGATTATCTACGAAACTCAGGTTATGAGTACAGCCTGTCTGTATTTAACCCAGAATGTGGTCTGAGCAAAGACAAGGTAAGTTCTGATTTGTTTTATCTGTTTATATAGCTTCCCGTTGATAGAGACTGGTGGACTCCCATAGTCTAAAAACTAGCTGAACAAAATATGGTAACACAAATTATAGTTTATAGTTAATATTGAGCACTTATGCCACCATAAACTTGTATAAACCTGTGGGAAGCACTCTATAATGAAGTCACTCATTGTATTTATGAAACTTTATAGATGCTTACAAAAGAAGATATTCTCCAGTTTGTGAAAATTGCTCCAGAGTCGTCTCTATACAAAGCACTGGTACGCTACTGAGTCTCTTTGAAAAGCTGAATATTTACTGTCAAATAGTAATACTAACAATATCATGTTTTTCAGTTGGCTCAAGAAAATTGTGATAAAAGTAAGAATCAATTTATAATTATTTACAGTATGTTGTAAACTGACCAGGCTTTGACCTTTTCCATCATACTTCCCAATCAGGTTTCCTAATGTCTCTCTTGACGCAGTTAAGCCACACTTCCACCCAAGAAGGCAATGATGTGGTCACTCAGACAACCAACATATCAAGCTATGGGGAATCACTAGGTTTACTTTTTATATGCCTTTTTTTATTTGTTATGCCAACATTAGTTTTTAATCAGTTTTTTTTTTCTCTTTGTTTTCCCAGTTGAAAAGATGAAAATGATTGACATGGAATATGACAAACATACTTGCAGAGGCAATACATTTTTCACTCTACAGTCTAAGCTGGATTCATATAAAAAAGAAATTGAAGAGCGGCTACAAGATGAAATGAAAATAAAGGTGCTTTTTACTCAATACTGCAATAATTTAGACTTACTTTAAATACATCTTTCAAGTGATGCTAAATGTATTATTTTTTATTTATCATCTTATCATTTGCTTCATAGTTGCAGCACTTTAAAGATGTTGAAGTTGCTAAAGTGAAGATGGAAGAACAAGCCAAATTTAACAAAGAAATGGTTAAACTCAAACATGAACTGGAGGAGACATATGAAATGAAGGCAAAAGCTCTCATGGAACGTGAAAAAAATGCAATTGTCCGGTTACAAAAACAGCAAGAGGTAAAGTAATACAACATTGTGCTTGCTAAATGTTGTAGCACTATTTTGATATATAATGCATTATTGTTAAAGATTGAAGAAAAAAATGTCTACATGCAAAGACAAGAAGTACTTAAGGAAATTGAAACCGTCCGGAACCGGGAGAGTGAGCTGAGGATCAGAATGGAGGCTTTTCAAAAGTAGCTACTCCTTTTTATTACTGTCTATCTTAGGTGATGAGCTATTGTAAGAAGATATTATGAGAAAAATGGGTTTGTGTTTTTTCACAGAAATTGTCAGATTCATGAGGAAAAAGTGAAGACCACAGTGGAGTTGCTGAGACGAAGGGAAGTGGCTGTGAAGACCTTGGAAGATACGCATGACCAAAGACTTAGAAATGAACTTTCTAGGTATGATATGTCATTTTGAAATTCTACTTGAATATTAAATCTATTTGAAAAAAACGTGTTTCAAAAAAAAAAGTCTTGTTTTTTATCAGATATCAACTTGAACTCAAGGAAGAATTTGTCAAGAGAACAGAAAAACTGACAGAAAATGAGACACGAAATAAAAGTATGTACAAATTATATTTTGTAAATTATAATTGAACTACTACTTGAACTATTTTTGGTCCATTTTTTTGTAGTGGAAACAGAGCGTCTTTTAAAGGAGTCAGCTGAGCTTGACGCCAAATTGGAAGAGCATGTTAGAGCATGTTCAGAGATCAAAGAGCTGAAGGTAAACACTATTATATCTAGTAATCAAATACTCATTAATTTTTCACATGTTGACTTAAGAATTATGCCCCACGGCATAAGATTAAGCAAATAATACAAATGCTCTTGTTCTTGTGGCACCATAGATGCAGCAAAATATATGTGTCTTATTAAGAATGTTAGGACAGACGATACCAACAGTATGGTGGATGATCTTATGTGTGGAACATCTCTGTTTCTGAACAGATTGAGCTTAACATGGCACAGCAGCAGCAGTCTATACTGACTGAACAAAAGGAGTTACTTAAAGAGAAGCTTGAAACCATGAATGACTACACAAGCCTTAAATCAGAGAGGGTGGAGCTACAGGGCCAGCTGCGACTGCTGGGCAAACAGCTGGAGGAGGCGCTGGAGGAGAACAGTCATCTGCGTGCGGGTAAGAGTCGCTTCATCCCAGGCATCAGCATACATATGATATAATAATTGTTTAATAACAATCTCCTCTCCTCTTGTGATGCCATTACATTATTGTATTTATTTATATTTGTGTTGTCATCATTCAAAGCAGGCTCTTTAACTGAACATTTAACATATTATCTATTCACTGTTTTCTGGGACAACGGTGCATTTTTTCCCTCAGTTGTCTTGCATCTCTGCTGCAAATTTGTATCTTGGCACAAGTCTCTAAATAAAAGCTAAGTGTTTGGATGAGGAAAGGGAAGCACACAGAGCAGATAGAGGCCTACTCTTCTATCTCTAAGGATACAGGAGCCTTACTGTACAAGGATGTGGCAGGGGACTTGTGCGCTTGTCTTTATCTAACCGCAGCTCACTGATGTTAAGGCACAAGGTCTGTGCAATACAAACCTGGATCCATACAGTGTTCAAAACCATCTTTAAAGTCAATCAGGCGTAATCAGATAAAAAGCAACAAGGGAAAGCTTAGAAAGTTTTAATTATATAATTAAAATTGAATTATAGCATAACAAACTGGATTGTTCAATTTCATCTTGATTAATATTGATCATAATAATCAATATCCATTTTTAATTATAATATGTAACAATATGAAAGCAAAAAAATTATAATAATTGATAAATCATCACAATGTTACATTCATTTTAAGATTAATGACCCACTTCTGATTTTAACCATAATCTGGCCTGATTTTGCACACAGATCTGCAGAGGATCCAGAGCGCTCGAAGACAGGCTGAAGAAGACTGGGACAAACAGAAACAGGTGCTGCAGGCTCAGCTCCAAAGTGAGGTCAGCATCAACACAATATCTGACTGTGGGAAAACAATGCTGTGAGCTAAACTCGGTGATGGCTTGCCTTGGAGAGCAATCATTTATGTATTTCCTTAATCTGCCTCTGAGGACCACCAATAAAACATTACTCACTGACAGTGTGTGTGTGTGTGTCTGTGCTTGTGTGTGTCTGTGTCTGTATCTGTGTGTATGTGTGTGTTCGCGTGCAGGTGGAGCACAGTGCTCAGCTCAGAGCACATCTGATGGAGTCTGAGGAGAAGGCCAAGTGGATGAACAACCATGTGGACGATATTAAGATGCAACTGCAGCAAACACAGCAAGGTACATTGTTTTATACAGCACTGTGCCAAACAGGTAAAAACTCATCAGCACTTTAACAAATACATTTTTACCGATTTAATTGAAAATGTAAGTAATGAAACAAGGAGTTTACTTTTAAGCCATTAGGTTAAACATGCTGAATAAAGGATTAGTTGTCATATATTTGTTTTTACAGATTTTATTGAGTTTAAGTTCAAGCAGCCCAACTCCATTTTCATTTACCTGTGCTTTGGCAGATAGAGGTAGAATTTTAGATTTTCTTATTTCCTGTGCCCTTTACAGTTACACATGACTATGGGACAACAAAGCATGGTATATTTCTTTTTTTCAAAGCACGTTGCATGGAATTGTGTTATTAGTGATAGCTTTATATTAGTTGTCATTACTTTTGCATCACATGACCCTATCAAAGATTAATATAAATCCTTGATAGCAGAATAAGATGGACAACAGTCTTTCTATTGTCTTTTCTATTCTCATGGTGGTTGGTTGTAGTGCCTATGTAGTGTTCATCTTTCCTTGCTCTTTTTTTTTTCTTTTCTCTACAATTCCTCCCCTAATGGCAGCTCTTGAAAATGAAGTGCTGCGTAATCCCAAGCCTTCTCTAGTTGACCGCTCTATTCTGGAGATCTGCTCTGACCACCTGGTTCCTCCTGACATCTATGTGGACAGAACCGTACTGAAGAACACAGCGCATTATGATTTGTCTAAAGCAGATGGATCCTTGCATGGAGACACCTGGGCCAACGCATTAGAATCTGACATGGATCTTATTGCTGATGCTAAAGCCCGAATGCTGGAGTTACAGAGAGAAGCTGAGACTATTGAGGAAGCCTATAGGAACTACCAGCAGAGGGCAGTGGTGTCCAACATCTCACACATGCTCATCCGGAGACCACTTTCCCCACAGTATCCTGCTCCTCGCGCAGACTCCCCACTGAGACGGCCACACAGAATGGTCTCTCCCAAAGCTACTAGGACCCCCTCTGTAACATCATATGACACCAGAAAACCCTCTGAAATTCAACCTAAAGTGACGTTTTTAGAAAATCCTGCCGGGACTCTACCTTCAGGGTTTTTAGCTGGTCATGATGCACATCAATTGACTGAGACCTTATATGAAAGAGACCAACACTTTGGGGATGTAAGGCCCATTCCAGCAAGACGCACATCTCTTCCTCAAGAATCACCCACAAGAAATAACAGTCAAAAAGTAACTGAAGGTAAAAACACATATATAACCATACTTTTTTTTACAGTATGAGTTGTAGACAAATAGAGGAAGGCCATAACCATGTTGGGAAAAAATGTAGTTTACTGACAAATGTTAAAAAATTTTGAATAATTATTTTATTGTATCAGGCCCACTGACAGCCTTAGTAGAGGATGCACTACTCTCAAATCCAAAAGCTGTTCCTTCTGATGACTTCCTCTCTGAACTCAGTCCACCTCTCAGCCCTCAGCTCAGGAGCACAGCACGAGATACAGCCAGGTGAAAGTTTTTTTTGTTTTGTTTCAGGTTAGGATATTCCAAAAAGTGCATGTATTTTGATAGTGACTAATCTATGCCTTTTCTTCACAAGCCCACCAAAACCGAAGCCTGCTTTCTCCAGCTCAGAGTCCTCTCCTCAGCCAGAAAAAATCACCCTGGAGGATCTCACAGAGCCACTGCCAGGTAACCATGTGCTAGTAATTCTTTATTAATATTTTAACAACATGCTGATAATATGTGTTGCCTCAAAGCTATTATTAAAGCTGTTGAAAATTAAATAAGTCTCCAGGTTTTGTGAAGCAGAACAAGCGCCCATGTCATTAAAAAAAATTATTACTTTTATTTTTTCATTTACACTATTTGTAATTTATTTTAGGTGTGTAATATTACCACAACAAAAAAGTTATTCTAGTAGTTTTTAGGCCTGTTGCTTTTTAATGAGTGTGTGACTGGCCTCCAAAGTGTCCTTTCAGTGGACTCGCACAATGGCGAAGATGAAGAGCCACTGATTATGTATTCTGTGGCACTCCTCTGGCCCCGGTGCATTATGGTCCGGCATAAAAGCTCTCTTTGTGCCCGTCCCCCTCCAGAGCAGAGCCACATTCCAGAGCTTCTCCTGGACACTGGCGTCCCAGAAGGCCTCACTGTCCCGCGCCTACAGAGTCCACAACATCTACAGCAAAACCCACCACCAGCCACACAGAGTCCTGAGGGTGAGACCCCATTGTTGGAGAATGAATTCTCTACATTTACAAGCAATATTTATTTTATTTTTTTTTTGTGACCTCAACAAAAACTCATTTTAAATCAGCTTTAAATTACTATATCTGATCTTCTTCAAATTTACATTAAGTACACCTTATGAAATGTTGTTGGTGAAGTTCACATTCACACAGTTCTTATAAAATAATTTTGAGGAAACATTTTGAACAAACAGAACAGTCATTTTAAGGAAAAAAAAATATTTGTACTAGTAACTCTGAACTTGTCAGTGTAATAAAACATGGTGCAGTAACTCTTAACATAACATAAACATTATTTTTGCTCTCCACCAGTTCCTCACTTATGACTCACTCATGCCCAGCAGCAATATGAAAGAGAGAGATTTAAGGAGAAATTGCCTTTAGATTAAGAGGAGAGGTAGAGCGCTTCACTGGGTCATAAAAAATATATATCTTTAAATCACTGTACAGGTGCTTTGCAAGGGTTAAGTTCAAATCTCAGCAGAATGTGGCTCTTGCTTGATAATGTAAAAATGGGCAAGGTATAAACCCGAGGCACACCAACTGAAAATATTAAAGGCCATTTATTTCTTGGGGAATGACACCGGTGTGTTTCAACCAGCTAGATGGTTTTTGTCAGGGGATAAGTTTTTTGAAGATTTTATGTTGCTAAATGTCTTTTGTATTTTATTTTTTTTTTAGATTTGCAATCCTCATGTAAACCTTCAGTGGCGGAGCAGGAGGATGACAGGGAACAAACATGGGAAAGAGAAAGAAAGGAAAGACAAGAACAAAGACTGAGAGAGCAAGAAGAGGCCAGAGAGAGGGAGCTGCAAGAACTGGAGCGACTAGAGAAAGAACATGCAAGTTTACTTTTTACATACTGAATAATTAAAAGTCTTACTGCACAGTTTGCGATAGTACGACTTTGTTCTTTCAGCTCTTGCAAGAGGAAGACCGGGCAGCAACAGACGAGGAGGTAATACGGAATGAAAACTGTGAGAGACAAGAGGAGCAAGAAGCAAAGGATGATGGGAATGAGTCTAAACCTGAAGAGAATCCCCTGGAAAAGTACATGAAGATGGTTCTGGAAGCAAGAGAGAAGCAACAACAGGCAGTTAGTAAAGATAGGAATATATACAATAAATTAACCTGATAACTGGTTAAAGCTAATGGGAATTTTGTTCTAATTTAGAGTCCTGAAGAAGAAGAAGCCAAGCCCCTAAGCTTTGAGGATAAAAGTCTGTCAGAAGCAAAAGATGAAAGGTAACTGCAAATCAACTTTTTTTTTTTCATTCAGTAAAATATACTACAGTATACTACCATATACTATATAAAAAAAGACTTAAAATAACAGGCCATATCTTCAAAATTTTCAAATTTTTTGTCTTTTTCTTAGCATTGCAGCAGATTCTCACAAGGATGAAGATGATGATTTCTGGTAGTATTTTTTTAAGGGTTGTAATTTTAGAATGTTGTTTTTTTTTTAAATATTAATTGCACATTGGTACTTTGCTATATAACTGATGTATAAAAAGAATAAACACAAGACACATGATTTTTCCTTTGTTTTTTTTTTATTTTCATACAAAATGGTGGACATTTTTCAAACATTTATTCAGTCATAATTGCCTTAGGATTGGGTCTGCCTAGTGATTGGACAGCAGCCTTTCCTTTGGTTTATTCAACAAGATGCAGAGCAGGGGTCAAAACAGTTTATTTATGCTACATAGTGTAGGTAGCCAAGCATGAAAGGCAATGGCATTTTTACTTTGGCTAAAATAATCATGGAGACTGAATCATGAAATGTCAATTATACTATCACAAAAAATTAAGATTAATATGTTCATAAATGTAGATTGTGTAAAAAAGCGTTTTTAGATACAACAATCAAAACCAAAAAACGGTAAGCATAGTCAAATACTGGAGCCAGTACTGTATATAACTGCTGTTAAGTCTGTAAAGGAAAAAAATATGCTAGAAAGAGGTTCTATTTTTGCATCTGCCTAGTAACAAAATACCAGCATAAGGGCTTTAAACATTTCATCATGATTTATTTAGAAAACAAAACTTTACAATAAAAGAACAGCAACATTATACTTGATTAACTCTAAATGTTATATAGTCTATAGTACCAAAGAAAATAAATGAATTCATTAGATGAATAAGTCACATATACTAGAGAAAGTACTTTTTACAAGTCAAAAAAGTCAAAACAATTAAAATTCTATATACATGTTAAATCAGCCAGTCCCAATTTGTTATACTGAAGAGGTGTATCTGTGTTGTACCCAACATTTTTGAACTGGTGTAAATGTTGATCATAGGCTCTTCTGCACACCTGAGGTAGGAGTTTTCAGGTCACAGGAACAAGTTTTAAATCGTTCAAATACTGTGTCTCCTCAGCTGCACCGTCAGTCACAAATGATCCTGTTGCCATTGTATGTAAATTACTATAAGGCTTATTTACTTGAACGTTGGCCTCCACAGATCACGCAAACATTGTAAAATTATTTGTAATAACTGCTTGTGAACTTCATCAATGATTTTGTAAAGATGACAAAATTAGAGCTTCATTTGAAAATGGAAAAACCCAGCCAATATCTCACAGTTCCACCTGCATGTTTTGGGTGTTAGTGCAGAAAAAGCATATTAGTTTGTTAGAAGCCTGATTAGTGCAGTGTCAGGCTGCTGGCAGATAATTCAGCATTGGTCCAAACAGGCCACCATACTTGGCTGTTAGTGCCTCATTGTGTGTGTCTGAAGTGTGACCGCAGTGTGTAATATCCTTATGTGTAGGAATTGAGGCATTCCTTGGAGCGTGACGTGATGTCCTGCAGCTCGCGCTCCTCCTTCAGTTTGATGTCTTGGTAGGCATGCATGTGACTGGCGTCCTTAAGGTAGGCCCAGTTTGCAGAGAGAATCATGAGGAAGTGGATCTGGAAGAGAGGGTGAAGGTGGATGGCGGTGAGCATGTCAGAGATGCAAAGCAAGCTATAGAGGTCAAAGCTACAAATATTAGACATACACACAAGTCAATAAACATTGTAGTTACAGAGTTACAGTGCAAGGTAAATATGGAAGTTTTTTGAACGGTGTATTAGCCATATTATATGAATCATTACTGTAGCTCAATATAGAGTACACACATGTTTTGTGTTATCATTTGCCAATTCTAAAATGTATTAGATCAAAATAAAAGCCAAAAAATATGGCATCACTGATCACTGACTATGAATACGTTTTAGTTTTTTACCAAGAATTTAGTGACCAGTGACATTTTTATTATGTAATGTAATGTTGCTTTTTACAAATGCATTCATTTAATGTAAAACATACAAAAAACTTCCATCACTAATAGTGGAGTTACGATGGATTTATATAATCTTAAATATAAATAAGAGGTTTTAGGTTATTGGGGGATGAGATAGGACAGCAGAGACGTCACATGCAAGTGCCAAAGGTTAGTGCAAAGCCAAGACCCATGACTGTCCCTGTGGAAAATAAATCAACCAAGTGGGAAAATTTTGTAAACAAAGATTGTTTATTTTATACCGAAAGTAATCGCTACAGTCCAAAACTTAGGAGAAAATTAAATATATGAAAAATTGAGTATAAGAAACTAAAACACATCAAAAGCATCTGGAATATTAAGCATGCAGGCTCAGTGTTAAGAAAAAACAAAATGGCTCTTTTATGGCACTTGGGAAAAAGAATAGAAAACAGACTTCATAGCCAAGGCCTGTCAGCATCAGCACTCGTTCAACTGAATATATGTACTTCATCTAAAAGAACTGTATTATCAAACATGGAATGAAAAAAGGCTTATGGCCCCATTGGGATCGATGGGTACAGGCCTAAACCTTCAGAGTGCTATTTATGCATCTAATAATACACATACGGTCGATACTACTCATGGATTTAACACCTTAAGTTCAAAACAAAAAATACTGATGTTTTGTAACACTTCATGGCATCAACAATAATACTCAACAGTTGACAGTTGTAAGAAATTAAGAGAAATCTGTCTTAAAATATTTTTGATTTGAAGTAATAAGATCTTCGAATCAGTTTGACCTATGATAATGTGTGAATTAAGTGAAATTTCGATTCGACTCTCTAGCTGTCCCCTCAAATCCTGCAATACTTCTGCGAGTGCCAGAAAAAGCAAAAAACAAAATAAAAAAATCAGACATTGCTGAAAAATCACCCTTGGACGTCCCTGGATGCTAAAGAACGCAACAATCAGCTATTTACACTTGTGATCACTAATATTTCCTATTCTGATTTTGTTAAGTTCAAATGTTGTCAGTGACTAATCAGTACAGCTTTCAAATATATGGAGCACTGTTTAAAACTTAGTGCAGCAATCTTCTCGACTCTTAAACTTCAAAACGGCAAAGTTATAAGTGGTAGCCATCATGTAGATCAGCTGGTGGAAAAGAACAGAGAGGTATGGTGAGAGATCATGCCGCCCACTTCCTGGTTATTGGACATGTGACAAATCAGCAAAGACAGTTTTCCAGCAGTCAAAGGCAGTAATCAAGTATAATTTAAACTGATTTTGTTTTGTTTTACACTAAGAGACTAAAAGCAACTACACTATGATATAATGAAAAGCAAATGAAGTTGACATTTGTTCTTGTCAGTGAACAAAAATGGTAGAGAAGGGTTCACAGCACACAAGACTAACTAAAATACAGATTTAAAGGGCCCATGTTACGCTATTTTATAATCTATGTTATAGTGTTGCTTCCTCATCAAAAACATACCTGGAGTTTTTGTTTCATTCACACATTTAAACACACAAACTCTGCATATTTAGTTCCACCTTGTGAGGTCATGTGGTAATACAGGAAGTGCTCCACTGTGCTTTTAAACTCCATACACCTTCACTTGAGTCATTTGGATTATTTCAGCCCTGGAATTGCCAATCGCTACTAGGGGTGTGCAAAAATATCGAAATATCAATATATCGTATTGTTTAATGTGATGATACAGTATCAATATTGTGGGCTGCTGTATCGATATATCAGCATGAGTATTTTTTTGGTATATTTTACTAAATTATTTTGCTACAGAGCTACAGATTTGTTGCTTGTTCAGTGAAAAGAAACTTGTTTATGCAACAGATTTGACATATTCACTGTTTTGTGATTATTAAAATGGGTGTGTTTGATATGAACTTTGCACAAGAAGTGGTTTAACGAAGACTTTTAGTATCACAGCCATCATTTAGCCTTTGGTTTTATTGAACGGTATGGAATTGATTTGAAATATATATTCTATTGAATCAAAAGTGCATTGAATCGAGGTATGTATCATATCGGCAACTTCTTAATGATGCCCAGACCTAATCTCTACTGAAGGTTGCTGTTAACTTGAAAACTACCGCTTCATGAAATCACAAAGTTGAACAGAGCATTTTGAGCTTTGGCAACTTAGACAGAATGATAATAAAGGATTACTCAAATGTGTGAATGAAGGTATGTTTTTGATGAGGTAACATGGCAAAAAGCTCACAAGAGTCAATTTTGCATAATATGGGACCTTTAATACTTGGAATATTGTGGAAAATATGCCAGTAATTCATTGTGTGCCTTCATGTGTAAGCCATAAGGAATTTGCAATTTTAATAAAAGTTTAATTTATGTTATTTTCCACAATACTTTAATGTAATCTATTGAATGTATGCCTGTAAAATATATGGATGCAATGAATGAAAATGCATTTTAGAAACTTTATTTTGGTCACTTACCAGAGCAATGACAGTGGCTCCTGCTCCAGCACATGCAACAATGTACAAGTGATAGGATAGGTAGAACTGTAGAGGGAAGAAAACAGACATTTGTGTTAAAAAATATTATTATTATTATTACTATTTTCTTACAGACGTCTTAACAAGAAGCAGCATTACCTCGCTGGAATTGCAGATGTCTCCTAGTGTAGATCCACAAGCCTTTCCTGGTGTGGCATTCCATGGAATAATACCTGGAAGAAACAAATGATAAGGTTAAAGGTGCTCTGCGCAACTTAAAAAAAAAAAAAAAATCACTACGGGTGCTTCTACTGCTCAAAAATGTAGGGGCGACTCTCCACAGAACTGAGATCAGTTGGCGAACCCTCCACTAGAAATGTTATGTTTGTGGCTACGTTTATATGACGACGTTCTGAACAGAAGACGCAAAAGTGGCATCGCGTCTTCACTTTTTATCCTGCGTTTAAGATGTGTTTTCAGGAGGAAATCTGCGTGCATACAGTGACGCAAAAGTGTGTGGAATTCGATTGGGCATGCATGCCAGGTGGCGACGCTAGGTGGTGATGTATGTGACGTAAACGTGTATGCGACAGATCTGATCAGAGTTTTGCGTCTTGGGCAGTGACGACGGAGCGTATTAAATTTTTCCGCTCTGGAGGGTGATTTCAAATTTTTGCGTTTTTAAGCCCCAGAAATGCCATCACCGTCTTAACGAAAGGCACTTCCGATAAAATATTTTGTCGTTTTTACCCGCAAGCGTTTTCATGTAAACAGGCCTTGTACCTCTCCACCCCTTAGCTTCATGAGTCAAATCTGATTACTGACTTGACAGACCAACTTGTGTTTACATTCAGCCACAAACTCAATAAACAAAAAGTGGTTTCTTAATATGAGCTCATTAGCCTTGAAATCTGAGGTTTTATGGCAGACAATATGGACCTCATCTGGATGCTAATACTTATGAATGACATGATCTTTATGAATTCCATTTCTGTGGTTATTTAGTTCGTCAGTAGTGGTCAGAGTTTCAAATATTGCAAAACAGTTCAATTATGCCACAACTTACGGTCTAAGAAGGGGTGTGCAGAAATATCAATATATCGTGATACTAAATTTGGTAATATAGTATTGTTATCATAGGCTGCTGTTTTGATATATCTGCAACAGCATTTTTTTTTTATCTTTTAGCTTTTATCTTTGATTTTTTTTGTAATCGCAAGACTTATTTAATGGAAGGAAACTTGTTTGTGAATTACATTTGACATATTCACTGTTAGGATGATTTAAAGTTTCTAAAGTGCTGCACAATACAGATAAAGCAATACAATGTTAATATAAAATAAAGATCTATTTACCTCCACTACTCCTAATTAAGACAAAAAAAAACAACTAGTAAAATCAAATAAGAAAGCCAAGTATCATGCGTTGAATCGTAGGGAACCCCATGACTCCCAGCCCTACGTCTTACCATACTGACGGACATCGACACAGATGGAATCAATGCTGGTGAGGTTTGCCATAGGGGACTTCATGGTGTTGCAGGTGTACCACATATTGTAGAAGAGAAAAACTGGCACCGCAGAGAAGCCAAAGACGCCGAGCCAGGCCACACCCAGAATGTATGTGAGGAAGACAAACTGAGGACACAGGCACACAATTCATATTTAAAAGGCCTTATATTACGCTAAATTGATTTTTGTGAGCTTTAAGACAGGTTATAATGTTGTTGCCTCATTAAAAATATACCTGGAGTTGTGCTTTCTTTTCATTCACAATCTGTCTGTCTACATCTCCAAAGATCAAAATGCTCTGTTCCACCTTGTGATGTGTGTGATCATGAAGTTGCAGTTTTAAAGTTAAAAGCTCCCTTTTACCTTTTGTTCAGGCTGAAATCATCCAAATGATTCTAGTGAAGATGTATGGAGTTTGAACATCCCAAGAGAGTTTAGACTGAGAGAAGAACTCATTCTAAAAATGCAGCAATTGTGTGTTTTTGATGAGGAAACACATAATGTAGACCAGAAAATAGCATAATATATGGACCCTTAAACACAGAGCTATTTTTATCAGTGAGTGTATAAGAAATAACCGAATGAACATGGCAGGGTGGTTCTGCTAACATACCAATCCACTGATGCAGCGGCCGCAGATGGTGGTCTTGAACTCGCTGTGCAGTTCTTTGACAGCACTGGTGGTGTAGAAGCCCTCTGCCAGCAGGATGATCCCGTACAGGAAGAAGAAGGAGGCAATTCCATAGATGACGTACTGCATCAGCTGGATTCTGTCAGCAAGAAAGATAAGATCGTAATGTTTTTTGTTGTTTTTTCCTCTCAGAGTTTAGTAGCTAGGTCCCAGTCACCGTTAATGGGGGAAATATTAAGATAAAGTCAAAAGTGCTCAACTGTAGTAATTATTCATTCACTTTACACTCTGATGATGAGCTACTACTGTAGTCATAGCTGCCCTGGGACAGACTAACGGAAGTGAGGCTGTCAATCTGAGCCCCTCCCACCACCACTAATCATTTACACACACTCACGCACACACACCCATACACACCACTTTGATACTAGGAATGGTGGGTAAAGTGTCTTCCCTAAGGACACAATGACAGAACTTGGTCCTAGTGGGAGTCAATTGTCTGACCTCAGATTGGGGGACCAGTATATCTTGTATTTCTTAATTTACACAAATTTTTACTGCTCAAAAATATGTTGAGCAACATGTATTAATTATTATGAATGGGGTCACCTCTCCAAAGATTTGATCTGTTTTTGTACTTGGTCATGGTGGCAAGTTTATTAATATACAGTGGAAATAACATCTCCATGACAACAAGCAGGTGGACCATTAATTACACCTATAGAGTAAACTTTGCCAAAATTAATCTGATTATTTAAACTTTTCAAAACATGAAGACTAATGCCAATAGTATCTATGATATGGTTTATGTCATTGATGCAATTTTGCACAACTATTATCTAACACCACTTTGATTAAACAATGTTCTTAAACTCAAACATTTTAGTTTTGGTTTTGTGTGACAAACTGCAAGCTACTTAAAATTAAAACAAGAATCTGCATTTTTATGTGGAAAATACTTGTACCAAATGTGTCTTTTCCATTAAATAACCTGCATGGGCTGATTAATCATCCCCAGATGTGTGTGATGGAGCCAGCAGCTGGGATCCTTTGTGAAGTGAAGCCCGGTGAGGTAACAGGTGAGGCATGTCTCTGCTAACCCCCAGGACACTTCAGCTCCACTCAGACATCAGACACACGCTCAAACCTGGCTTTTGTCACTGGCCTTTTATTCTATAACTCTTTCAGATTTGTACAACCTCCCCATGTTTGGACTTGTTTTAGTGATAAGATAAGGTTTACAGGAAGCATTATCATCTTAGAAGAGGCACGTAAAAGCACTACTAATCTTACATTTGGAGCAAGACAAGAGTATTTTTTCCACATCACCACTACTATATCAACAATGGATTACTTGGATGAGACAAGTCTTAAAATTAGGAGTGGTCTGATATGGATTTGATGTTTTGTTTTTTGTTTTTTTCTTCTATAACAGAGTCCCAAAAGAGTAAAGTTGTGGTTATTTTGTATATAGCCAAGATATATTGTATTATTATATTTCTATATTTTATTTTTAGTTTTTACTTTACTTTACATATGTCTTATTTGAGTCTCTTGATATTTTTGCTGCTTGTTTATGATTATTTAACAATTACATCATTATACAGTATATTGTGATATGTGAGCTATTGTGTCCCCTTGTGGATCAATAGTTTGTTTCAGTTTTTTATACTTTTTATGGGGATTCTGAGAACATACAACTTCTATACCCATTAGAATAGCAAAATCTGAAAGCAAAATTATTGGCCCATTATATAGGGTAATTTCAGCATATAATATTTGAAATAGCTTACATGTCAGTGAGCATGGCATGGTCGGAGGCGACTTTGGAGAAGTGCGTTTCCAGGATGGTGACGGTCCCGGTGAGGGCCACGTGTCCACAGCCACAGAAGAGGGCGACTCCAGAGAAGCACAAGATGGTCGCCACGAGAGACGCGTACGGGACGCCCCCTAAACATTTGATGCAGCACTCGAAACAACCTGCAAAACACAAAAAAATACAAGTTGAAATAACGTATATGGATGTATTTGGTTTGACCAGGTAAGGATTCTTTCTATTGTTTTTAATTCACATCATAACAAATATTTTCTTGGTCCCACGGTGATGGCTCAAAGTTTAAATAATGTAAGTATGGAGATATATCAATGCCCCTTATACCAGGTGGCTGATATTTGGACTTTTTAACATATTAGCTATCGGCCTTAAATCTCATAGCACAGGTCAGTATTTTGTTTTGGTCAATTTGCTGCCTAAAAAATACACACAAAGCTTTATTTTAACTTAAATGCAAAGATATAACTGCAGAAAGTGAGAATACATGGCTTTCTTGTAGTTTTATGGTTAAAAAAAGAGCTTTGGATGAGTTTGTAGTAAATTCAAAAGGCATAATTTGAAGAAAATAATCAAAATCGGTCCAAATATATATAGGCACAGCTCATCGACCATCAGTTTCTCTGGATGCTAAACAATCATACAAACTATAACCCATATCGTCAATCTCTCGTTACTAACATAGTTGCACCCAAAAGCCAAAAGGCTGTTTTGTTTTCATTGTTTTCATTTTTCAAAAAATTACCCTACATTCCAGAAAACATCAATTTTCTCACTAGCTCACCCACGTGTAAATAAATAAATGCTTTCATGCCCCTGGTGAATAAACTGGAATTATGATTACGAGTATCATCCAGTCTTCCAGTAAATAATCATTTGTTTGCCAGGAAGCTTCCATAAAAATGCATTATATAATTTATCAGAATCTCTGTGCCAGTGAATGCCAAGGTCAAACCACTGTGATATCAAACAAGTATTACTCATAAAGGAATACATACAACAATGGCTAAATGCTTGTGTAAGACTGCCCCGTCAAAAAAAAAAAAAAAAACTCGTAAAGCTACATAGGAAACAACATGTCCGGCCTCTTTACAATTCAACACTATTTTAAAGGGCACCAGCAAACGAATGGGTCAGAGAGGATAGTCCACTGCCAAATTATCAATCAATGTTTACTCAGAATCAGGTAACCTACATACACAACCACCATCGCATCCAACCCTGTGTAGAGCCAGTGACTACAATACACATTGCACTGTGAAGGCCCATAGACACTTTACAAACAGCCAGTGAATGCGTCCAATTAGATCCACATGTCTGACAGGATGTTGTCTGTGAGTCATCGGACACCAAGGTCAGTGCCTGTTTACGTGAGGAACACACATTAAACCTGATGCCACGTCGGGAAGAGCCTTTACAATCGCTCTTTGCTCATTAGCTGCGTGAGTGGTATGTTTTTGTTGAAGCTTTGAGCGATAAAGTTGATAACAGTCAAATTAGAAAGATGTGCAGTGACTATTAGCAGATACAGAAGTGGTTGGGGGTTTGTGAAACAGTGCGTGACAGAATGCAGTCTGAAATGATAACTTGGGTGTCAGAGTTTAAAGCTAACAACACTGCAGAGGATAGTGCTGATAGGAAAGGAGGAGGCCAGGGAGAAGGAAAATAAACAAAGAGCCAGTTCTTCAGTCAAATTACATTGTACTCACCTTAAACGAGGTCAAGACATTTTGAGGGATTTAAAATGTTATGTTGCATTCTTTCTCTGTTCCAGTGAAGTTTTACTTGGGTTTTCAAAGTATGAAAAGTTGAATCACAATCTACAGTACAACTTTGGTTCCTCAGATAAGTCTTTCCTTTACAACGTTACACAATTTTCAATGATTTTGGACATTTATTGATTTCAAATGTCACAAAAAAGCATTGCAAAAATTAAATGGTAAATGGAAAGGAACCCCTCTCACACACCATTGGTAAGGAAACCACAAACACATTCATAGTCACCAGTGTATGCAGACAATGAAGCAGAGGGGGGGTTTAAGTGTCTTGCCCAAGGACACAACAGCACTATTCATCTGTGTGAGCTGGAATCGCACCACCAAACTTCAGATCTGTGGACAAATGCTCTACGAACTGAACTACTGTCTCTTGCAAACAGAATAACAAGTCAAGCAACCATATTCAAGCAATACAATTCTCTTTAAAAGTTAATAGGTCACTTGTTTCTATTCTCAGTACAATTTTATTTTATTGTAATTTTGTGGTATTGGCCTTGTGCATGTCTGCTGATACCACCCCAAACCACTGTCCTTATAACAAAAAATACGCAAAACTCAAGAGTCTTTTTACCATGACAGAGCAACTAAAGAGATACACGGCTACCCAGCAATGTGCAGTCAGATGCTTGGTCCTCTCTGTTTGTGTAGTACAGGGAGATCAAAAAGCATTTCTGCCCCAGGATGGGTGAAGAAAAGCAGTTGCCATGACAGCAGGTTAACCACAGCTCAATGACTGGTGAGCCCAAAGCGGAGCAGAGGTGACTCGTACCACAACCCACATCGCACCAAGGCTCACAAGATATTGAGCCCTTATGCAAAGTAAATACAGCATCTTGTTCTTGTATTAGCGGTCACTGTCAGGTAGCCAGGCAAGAGACTTATAAATCAGCAGGCTCTCACAGTCAGGAGCGTCAGACGGCTTCCCCCTGTCACACTACATTCCTGGTCATAAAGTTCGTCCAGGCTGAAAAAGAAAAAATATTTTCCGATGGTTTATTTCTCTAAGGGTAGAAGGCGCGGTAGCTTGTTATGAATCAATTTGAGTGCAATGCTTTTTGGCACGTCAGGGACATAAAAGCTGCAAGGGAGTCCAACTCGGGTATCTGTTTTGCTAAAAAGACTTTGATCAGGTTTGCCCTCGTCCAAGTCCAGAGGCCAGTGTGGAAAAAGAACATATAGACACATGAGCAAAAGAAGGAAGACATGATTTAGGAAAAATAATATGACATTGTAATAATAGCATTTCATTCTGAGTATATTGCCAGTGTTAATACATTAAAAAAAAACTTGCATTTAAGAACTAAATATTAGAGGTCTTAGAGGTCCTAACAAGGTTTGAATTTATGTTTTTGTAGAGATAGCCAAGCATTCATGTTGAAAGTTAATTGAGACAAATAAGATTGAAATAATACAACAAATCGCACTAGAAACACAAGATGAACCAAGTGACATCACCTCATTTTTTTTTTTAAAGCTCTGCAACATTTTTGGGCAAATATGTAAAGCTGATTTATCCAATATGAATTTACAAAAAACTCATCCACAACATTTGTTTACTACTAACTGGATAAGAGAACAGTGTAGTCAAATTTTTGCAGTACCCTATTTTAGCTAAAATGTTCAGATAAAGCTTTATGCATCTATTCTTTATGCCTATTGAGGCTACATTTACATGATGACGGTCTGAACAGAAGACGCAAAAGTGCCGTTGCATCTTCACTTTTTATTCTGCATGTAGACAAATGTGACGTTAATCTGTATGCGACGTGAGTAGATCTGACCAGAGTTTTGCATCTTGGGCAGTGCAGGCGGAAGCGCTACGGCGGAGCGTATTCAACTTTTCCACTCTGGAGGGTGATTACAGATTTTTGTGTTTTTAAGACCCAAAATGCTGTCACCATCTAAACAAAAGGTGCTTCCGATAAATTTTGTTGTTTTTAAGAGTTCTCATGTAAACAGGCTCTTAGGCAGCTGGTTGACCCAAACAAAAATGAGCCTTTGCAGAGGATTTAAGGCCAATAGCCAAAGGTCTATCTACTAATCATAGGTATTTGTTAGCTTCACAGCACGTATAGCCTCTTATATTTTAGCACTATATTCTCAGAAACTTCATTGTGGTGGGTGACCTCTCCTTCTCACCTCCAGTACTCTTAATAAATCCTGGAGGGTATTGTTTTCACAGCTGTACGTGACATGTTGGCACTTGAGTCCAACAGTTCTGAATGACTGGGACAGCACAGACACATAGCATAAGCTGACCACTCAAATAATAATCATTTCACAAAAGAACCATTGTAGACATTCTGTACTGTATTTGACATTAAAAGGACAGTCCAGAATTTTGGACACAGGACCTCATTTCTTAGTTAATCAGAGTGATGGAGACGTGGGGAGACACTTTAAGGTTGCTGGTGCTAGGCTAATGCATGTCAACGGCCATAGTTAGCCTGACACTAAAAACAGTCTTACCCAATCCATAAAGCACCCGAAGCAAATCTGTTACAACACCAGACTGTCGATGTAACTGTCTGTGTTGATAGAATAAGTAAGTAAGTCTTTATTTATATAGCACTTTCACAGACATTTTCTGTCCCCAAAGACGCTTTAGAGAGCATTATTCAGCATTATTCATTCAGCATGTTATATGTATATGTATAATGTTTGAAATAAAACCAACTTTGCGTAGCATGAATCGTCGCATGTTGAGGGACTATTTTCTCAGTGGCAGCGGAATTTTATTTTGCCAGTAAGATAGGTGCTAGATGATATCAGTCCGCCGCTGCCAAGCTTTCTATCAGGAAGTACAACTCACTGCTGCTGCTCTGACATAAATCTTTTAAATGCAAAGTTGGTTTTACTTTCAAAATTATTCTATCAACACAGACATTCACATCGACAGTCTGGCGTAATAATAGAATTGCTTCGGGTGTTTTGTGGAGTGGGTAAGACTGTTTTTAGTGGCAGGCTAACTATGGCCATTGACATGCGCTAGCCTAGCACCAGCGACCTCTGTAAATACAAGGACCGGATGGAATATTTTAAAAAAGTGTCTCCGCACGTCTCCAACACTCTAGCTAACTAAGAAATGAGGTCCTATGTCCAAAATTCCGGACTGTCCCTTTAAAGGTGCATTGTGTAACTTTTCTGGTGGAAGGTCCATCAAATACTTTATCTCTTGCTTTATCTGGAATGTTTCACGGTATAGCATTAACCTTTCTATCTTCAGGGAGACCAAACCAGATCATGTTTTGTTTTTTTAGGTAATTTTGAGCTGTAAAATTATAAAATGTAATAAATGTAAGGTAGAACTAAAGCAATGAGGTTTGACGGACCCTCTACCAGAAAAGTTACATAAAGCATTTAAACTTATT